TTGGGGTAGTATTGCCTCTTACAGCCGGAGCAGGCATCAGAGCTTAATTACTAGCTCATGACAGGGTTGTGGTGTTGCTGTGGGACACTTAGAAGATCAGGAGCACCTGGGAATGGGCTGATCATTCCCAGGTGCATGATATCTGAATTTGAAGTACTTCATCGTAGGGTATAGTACTGCTAACAACATCATCTACAAGAGTTTCTAGCTTGTAGCTTCACAAGTTTGTGAGTATATCTCAATTGCTTGCAGAACGTTGATCTCAGATCCCATAAGCATCTCGCTATCTGCTGAACTGGTAGATACCCAGAAAATTCCAGCACTTTCTTTTACACACCATCAAGGCAAGTATTTGTGAACACAGAGGAGGCAGACCTCTGTTGTAGGAGGGAGGAAAGATAATGTGTGAATTTCCTAACACGTTCATTAGAAATCTTGAGGAAATACAGATTTCCACATATTGAATTATGATCTTTGAGAATGAGAGTATGAGATACTAAGCTGCCTAATAAAAAAGGATACTTCAATATAAATTGTATTAATATAGCTAATTTCATATTTCCAATTCTGAGAATGCTATTGTAAATAAAATGTAAGTCACTGCTTTTACATTTGACTAAAGGTTTTAATGACATAGTAAATATTAGTTTCTGGCATTTAAGAGTATTTGATGTGTTTGGTGGCTATTTCATTGCATGTTTAATGTAGTGTCGGGGACTGTTTTTGCCTTTTTAGTTGTGGCTGTTACTGACATGCACCCTGACGGAATAATATTCCTTTGGTTTGCTGGCTGCTGGCAAGGTGGTTGTTGTGAATTCGGAGAGGGTAAGCTCCTGCTGGCGTGGTGAGGTAGTGGTTCATCATTTTTCAGATGGATCTTGTCAGAGAAGTGCCAAAGATTTGGATTATCTGAGTTTTCATGAATCATCCAAAAGCTTCAAGATATATTAGGGAAAAAACTGCCTTGTTACATGGAGTAACTTTCCCAGTCCTCAGACCCCTAAAGGTACATGTGAAGTTGTGAAAAGCCAGAGAAGTTGGGAGATGTTTTGCCAAATCTGCTTATTTCCCTTGGCTCAGTAAACAACCATTTTTTTTTCTCTATTAAAAGCTGTAGGGAGTTGCCTTTTTTTAAGCTCGGTTTCCTAAGGAAATGTGATTTATGCTTTTTCCTGGTTTTCACTTATTCTTTGCTTACATATTCACCAAGAGCTTTTGAAACGATTGACCAATTGCAACCATGTTTGTAGGAGAGAGAGAAATCTCAAAGACCATGGTGTTCCTCCAGGGTTTGGGAAAACAGGCAAACCGGGGTCGCTGCCCTCTCCTGAGACAGAGATAATGCAGTGCGGGTTTGGCTCTGACCTGCTTTTTCAGCAGGTGCTGGGTCTGCGTTGGGTGGAGGAACCAGAGCTGGTTCTGTGTGCCAAGGGGGCTTGAGGAGACAGCAAGGACATCGGGCTGTTTGGGAAGGGGATGGGAACTGAGGATCTGGTGGGAGGAATGGATCAGAGGGAGGATGCGAGGGGAAGCTGTCTCCTCGTGGTGGGGAGAGGAGAGCTCTCAGAATGGTGCTTTACACTGAAGAACTTGCTTAATGATAAGCTGCTAACTTTTTTTTGACCCTTAACCAGGGAGTTATTGTCCTGATCAGAATTAGATGATATATATGTTTCACTGACTGCAGGGTTTGGTTTAGTATTTAAAGTAGATTCTTCTGGAATTACCAGAATAGCTTTAAGCTGTGATTAAATTCATATTTTCCCATTGTTTCAGGGGCAAAAAAATGGTTTTGGTGTATTTCTTTGAAAAGCCTTGGACTTAGACTTTGCTTTCAGTGGTAAAGAGGAAAAGAAAGTGTAACTTGAGCTTAAGAAATAGGACTTTTCCATTTAAAGGCCATAGTGAATAAGTACTTTTAATAGTGGAGAGATAAAACTGATGGGGTGCCAGCTAAAGATTTCTGTTTGTACCAGTTATTATATGGAATATGTCCATTAATAGCCAAAGAATAAGATTTTGCTCGAGTATAGGAAAAAAAGATAATACCTCTCAAATGGGATTTCCTTTAGGTCCACTCCTCTGTCTTGTATCATGGAGTTTTTAGTTGAAAAGCAGGAGGAGCTGGACTTCTGTCTAGAATGACATTTCTGGTTCTTTCCTGCCTTGCCTATATTTGTGTTACCTATGAATCATGATAAACAGCAGACTGAAATTTACCTCATTATGTTAATCTTGTAAGATTTTATCAAGTCTCAGTGGAGAATAGTAGTCCATCCTACTCACAGGTTTAGAGAAACTTCTGGTAGACTTAGTAATAGTGAAAGAGAATAAAATTCTATTAGCTTGCTACTTTCATGTCTAGAGAATTCCCTGCTCAATAGTGTCAAATATACTCTTCAAGCCTTCAGGAACCAATATAATCGTCACAAACTTTATAGTATTCACAAATTTTAATTCATTAATTTCAAGTGTTAAAATACTTCAGTTTTAAAATATCATAATAGTTAGGTGACTTTGACCTGGGATTATTTTAAAGTAGTTTTCGTAGTAACAACAAATATTCTAAAGGAAAATGGATTTTTTTTCCTGACTGTGAGTAGAAAAGCAAGTAGCAGCATGAATCACAGCTTCCCAGAACTGTCAGAATAGGAATGCAGATTCTCCCCCACACGCACACATTTCTTGCTGTCACTTTTAATGTAGTAATGTGATTTAATAAAGTTTTTCTTGCCATCCACAGCAGCAACATTCATTTTGTGTAATCAAGCTACTACTAGCAGTTGTGTGGTTGAGGATGAAACTAGTATAGTAGTTCCAGTGATAACTCTTAACATCTCAGCAGTTTTGCTTAAAATCTGTTTTCTGAAAATGTTTGGGCTTTTTTTGTTAAAATACTGTACTTCAGGGTCTGGTTTTTTCAAATTGTTTTTTTTTTTTCTCCCAGCTCAGAAGCATTAGTTAAACATTTTGTACTGCACTAAAGCTTTGCATGATGTTTCATAGATAGTAAGATACAGTTCCAGCCTTGAAGGGCTTGTGATCTTAATTGCACTGACATAGAAAATGAGGAGAATGACCTCAGAAATGGGGACAAGGATTCAAATGAATAAGTGAGTCATAGTTAGTGAATTAAACAAGTTGTCTTTTCTAAGAACAGGATAAGGCAGATCAGCAAAGAGGAAGATGAGAATATAGAAGCAAAAGACAGCGTAAAGCAAGTCCAAATATTACAGGGATTTGAAGGAAAAGAGGGAAAATGTGGGGTTTTTGCAGGATCTGGAAAGCAAAATAAAATCAGAAGAGTGGTCTGAATCAAGATGAAGAGTAATTAGCTGTTAGGAAATGGGGCAGGGAAAAGATATGTAGAAACTGATGAATTATGTTGATGGATTTAGCTTTTATTGGAAAAAAAAAGGAAAAGGATTTGAGAATGTGCTGATTTGATTGGTTTGACAGGGAAGTCAGGACACAAATTCTAGTACTAAGATACTTTTTTTTTAACCCTTAAGAAAATTAGCTGTCAACTTGCTTTTAAAGCGAGTGGTGAAACAACAAGCAACTGTGCCTGAAAAGTCAATCTCAGGCATTTGTGGTGTTCTGTCACTATCTCCTTTGACAGTTTTTGTTTAAGCTGGAGGAATTTTTATGAGTTTCAGTGCCATTGAGGTGAGGCTGTAGAAGCCTCTAACATCAAAGGCAATTGGGGCAGTACTGCTTTATCAAAGTCAAAAGAATCACAAACCTTTTTTCCGTTAAAATAGCTGAAATTGCTTTTCAAAATTAGTTTAGATAAACTGGTGCTACCTTTATATGGACAATAAAATTTATGGTTGGTTTATATTGAGTTATGTTAGTCTTTGTATTGCTAGCATAAATGAAAAATAGTGTCTCATAAACTTCTGTATAGATTGTTTTTTATAGTGGTACCTTGACACTTTTGCTGCCCCATAGAGTATAGTTTGCCATTTCTTATCTATACTGGTATTTGATTCAAAATATTGATTTCTGACAGAATCTTTCATTTTACTGCATAGAAAAGTAGATGAGTAAATGATAACAATCTACCTTGCTTATCCCATTAGACTTGTCCATTAGACCTTCTTCAAACATTGGCATCCTTGCCCCCTACCTGCTTCTTTCTTTATTGTATGTACTGGGGGACATGGTGGTAAAGGACAGGGGGGTTGACATTCCTTTTCTTGTTGTTATGTCAAAGGAAACCTGCCTATCCTTGCATATGGTGGAAGGAAATAGTTCTATGTATACCTTAAAGGACATGCTTTGCCACGTGGGAGTGTGGAGTAGAAAGCATCAATAGTGATAACTAGTGGTAGCTTTCCCAGCAGGGTTGTCAGCAGTGAGATTATTTTACCAAATCAGTGCACACGTATTTAAAACACAGGTAGGAATACAGAATTTATGATGTGTAGTAGACTGGGAGCTATTTCTTTGCGGAATAAGTACAGCGTTTATGTATAGAAATATCTATTGCATAGTTAGCTTCTGCTCAGCACAGCTTACTGAAATTAGTTTTTCATTAGTGAGGGGAAGGTGTTTTGAGTTTTTCTTATGCTGTTGTGTGCCATGTTCTAAACCGTGTTCTGGGGTCGATCACACGTCCTGTCTGAACCACACAAGGCTAACGTTGTATTGATGTATTTTCTTCCCAGAAATTTGCTTGGTGTATTGTTGACGTTCTGCAGTGTCATAATATACCCCAAAGGAATCATAATAATGGTAATATTGCTGTTTTGTAGACAGAGTCAGAACTGTAACTTTCACGTTACCATTAGGCTGTTGCATTTGTCTCGTGGATTTGGATTTCAGGCAGTGCCAGAGCTACGTAAAAGGCGCTGGGCGATCTTGACCTTCTCCTTCATGTGTATTTACCTCATTATGTTGAACAGAGCAGCAATCCCGGGCTCGCGTCTAAAAGTTGTTTTGAATGAATTAATCGTTATGGAACTGTGGGGTTTTTTGTTGTTGTTGTTTTTCAGAAGACTGTGCCAAAGAAGACTTTTACTCAGATGACATCACATTTGGACTACTAATGCTATCCACCCACTCTACAAGGCACAATGCATTTCTAGGTAATTTAAGTAAGTATGTAGATTTTTATTGCTACTAGAACAGTAATGCTTTAAATGAAGCATCTCGTTTTCAACATCAGGCAAGGTAGAAATTCCACTTCAATTTGAAATTGAAATTAATGTTGTGTAGGGGCAAGAATAAACTTCAAATAAGCTTTTAATAAGCTTTCATCCTGTACACTGGAACACGGAATGAAACAATTGAACTAACTGTACCTGAGCTGCCTTGGAAACTAGAAGGAAAAAAAAAAAACCAGTCCTAATGTGTGTCCTAATGTGGCCCTGTGGTTTCTGGAGACTGAATTTAATATCTCTCCCAGGGATGTGTTGTTGATTTTTTGGGAGTTTGGTTTTGGTAGTTGTTTTGTTTGTTTTTTTTTTTCAGATGCTCTTGTTAAAGTGGAGATGAGATTAATATCCTAGTAATGTAAGATACAGAAAGCAAAATAATGCATCTGAATAGGTTCGAGTAGTAACATCTCTGGCCGCACATGGTTTTATTTGTGAAAGGGTGGCATCTCCCCGATTCCTTGATTGGACAGTATGTACTGTCCAGCTGAAGATGGGCCAGGAAGTGCAGATTTCCATCTTTGCAAGATTTGTCTTATCTTGCAGTAAGGTTACAGATTGCTTTGTACATCCACAGTCACATAAAGAGAAACGCACAATAGACAGTGTAGTTTAAGGTTCATTTTAGGAGTGACAAAGGGGTTTTGATTCAATGTATCGTGAGGATCACTGGCTCTCTGTGGCCCTATGTGTTTACATGCTTTTTCATTTTAAGTAGATATTATTATTAAACTTTTTCAGATGTTCCGTGGTCTTGGATCCAAGAAACTGATCTATTAAGATAGATCAGATATTGTGCCCATCTTGCTGAAACTGAATGATTTTTGTCTTGCTGGCAGAAACATTTCCTATATTCCTAATGGCTTACCATGCATTGGGGATGTTTGGTCGTGCGTGAAGGAAAGTGAATGGAGTTACAGGTAGCAGTACTTGTAGTTAATGATGCTTGACACTTTCTCTTCTAAGGCCGGTTTTAGTTGCTTATAATTTAGCAAGCCTTAAATCATTGAGCAGTAAGTCTGCCTGTGTCTGAGAATGAGATGAGGGGGAGGAACGTACTGTTTTCTTGATTCAGAATGCAGTGAGAATCTTAGCACTGGAAAGATAAAGCACCTGCATATGTGAGAGCAGGTACTCAAGGCTTTAGGAAAAACTTAAAGTCTTATGCTGTGCTATCAGGTGCTTTTTCTTTTTTCCCTTTTTTTTTTTTTTTTGTGCCATCCCAAGCTCTTGCATTAGGGAGCATGATAGATTTCTGAAAATACAATTTGTAGCAGTTCAATGATTTGCCTAAATCCATTTCGTCTGTCCAAATCAGGTGAGGTAGATATTCCAAATCCTTTGTCAGAACCAGCCAGAGCTACTGAGCGTGTTGGAGCTGGGCTGTGAGAAGTAAACAGGCCTAATCTCCTCCACTCCATTGTAATGTCAAGTACAAACACTGAATAAGGAGACTTTCTTCTGCACTCCTTGTACTTTTCCGTAACCACATCCCCCATCTACTCTTGATTCTATCAGTCCAATGCCACTCCAGTAGTATATTTCCATAACATTTGTGCACTTTTGATTCAACTTTTCTATAATCTTTGATTGTTCTTCTTTATTGCTGTTCTTGTGTTCAGAACAGCCCATAATAAAACAGATTGTTTTGAACAATGTGTACTGTATTTGGTTAAAATTATGAAAAACTTCTTTCTGAGCATCCTGAAAAGTTATGGATGTTGTGCATCTTTGGTGTTGCTTTTCAAGTCACCTTTGTAGACAACAAAGACCTGCTTTGTTTTATTAAGAATTTTTGTTTTCCAGGGTGTACTTCAGCTTTATTTTCTGCTTGTCTCTCCTTGGGCTGTTTTCCTTCATCTTCCTATTTTCAGTAGTCCTTTTACTTATGTTTCTTTTTCAGAGCTTTTTCTTTTTAATTTGTGCTGAAAATCCTCAGTTTAAAACTGTTAAGTTACGGAACTTTTGTATTTACTTATAAAAAAACCATCTTTTTTCTTATTGTTTTTCACAGAAGCGTGAAAAGCAAATAACTAATTAGAGAGAAAATACTTTTGACACTGATTTGTAGAAATAGAGTTGGAAGTTGTACTCTTTCTCACTGACTGTTGTACGGGTGAGAGTGCTGGCAGAAGTGCCTTTGTGCTTCTCTGGAAATGTGCCCGTGTCACTACGTGTGCAAAACCACATTTATTCAGGAGATCAGTGAAATCAAACTGCTGTCTTATTCTGGTTTGTTCTTATACATCTGCTATAAAAGGGCAATGAATAAGGAGCAGCAGCAGCACAATCGGAGCCCATCCACAAGAAATGGGAAATGTGGTATTGAGGGTGGTTCATTATCTTGGTCATAATTATTGGGGCTGCTCAGCGTGTCACAGCGAAGAAAAATTGCATCTTGTTAAATCAAAATGTGTTTAATAGTGTGTAGAGGGCTAATGATCTGAAAATGGTCTCTCGGTTCCTAACTGAGATTTAAGGGGAAAAAAGAGATTGTTTCTGAGCAAGCTAAGAGATTTTCCTAGGTTTTACATTTGGATCAGAGGAGTCAATTTAAATTAATGAATAAAGCTGACCAAAGCCAAGGTGTGCCCTGGGCCAGGCAGAGAGCAGGGAGAGGTGCTGTGTGGGAGAAACCACCACCCTGGCTGTTGAAAGCTTCAAATTATGAAGCAAATAAAGGCAGACTTACAAGAAAGGCTGGAAACTTCTAGTTCCACTTTCTTCTGCTGAAACTAGAGTTTATGGTGTAGAGGATGATCTTAACATTTCCACTCCTCCATTTTGCTGAACTGCCTCTTCAAATATTTTGGGATTTTTGTGTTGAAGTGACCCAAGAGCATCTGGTGTTCATGAATTACAGGAAGATGGAATTTGGGTTTAGTATGGGAGTAAATGGACTGACATATTGCTTCTTAGAGTTTTATGGATTAGAAATGTACTATTGAATTTATATTACAATTCTGTAATTGCTTAATAGGGTTTAAAAAAAAACAGTGGAATAAGTTATTTTTAATGTTGATAAAAATTGCTATTAACTGATTTTTCTTATGAAACCAAAATTATCAGAATTAAAAGCAGAAACTCTGGCTTTTACTTTGAAGCCCAGGTCCACACAGAAGGAAGCTTCTGAAATTAAAGGGACTGTCATTATACTTAAAACTTTCAATTTATGTACATGTGAAAGTTTATATAGTGTTGTTTTGTGGTTTGTTTATCTTTTTTTTTTTTTTTTGAAAAGACAATTTTCTTTAGGAATTTCTTTAAAGAGATCTAATTTTCTTTTCATCTAAATTTTAGCAAATGCAGAGTGAAGCCCATTCTTTCATTTGCAAAAACCTTCTGGAAAATTACTTGGATGCTGTAATTAAATGTCAGTGAAATTAGGTGAGTCTCTGAATATTTTGATTATTCCAAGCAACTAATGAGTTAATTGTGTGTGACAGAGTCCTGTTTATAATTTACACTGCTAAGAGGAACTCTGGCATTTAACCTAAAATCTAGAAGATTAAATTATTATATAAACAAATGACATAGCTCAGAAAGAAATAAAAAAAAAAAAAAGGCAAAGATTAAGCAATATATTCCTGGCTTTACTCCTAAGGTAGAAAGCTGTGTATATGCCAAATATATTTTTATCTAATGTTTTTGTAATGAAATTCTTCCATAACATAACTTGCTTGATTAGTTTCTCTCGGCATTTCTGTCATGGTGATTCTGTGGCTGTTCTGAGATGTTGTTTAGAACCAGGCTAATTTCAGTTTTACAGTAGACTAATATTCCTGTGTCATTAATCTGATTTTTCTCAATTCACGTGGTTACTTAGCATTGGATTTAGAGGTCAATTTGAATGATTGAAGCAAACACATGTTCATTTTTGGCCCTTCTGAATTCTGTTTGAGTTAGAGCAAGTTAAATCGTGGTGATAGTGTTTACATGCCTGTTTCATGTAAACACAATCTGAATTTCCAGATAAAAGCCAGCAGTGACAGCTTTATCTGACAGTTCAGAGTTGCCAGAATATTTGGTTTTCTCTTGCTGTATTTAATAGCACGGGTAGTAGGGGGAACTGAATAAATGAGATAAAAATCTGAAAGAAATAAGGGGGAAACAAGAAGTAAAATATTTAAAGCAAAAAGTTGGAGTGAAGAAACAAAGAGAATGCAGCCAAAGTGACAGGAATATCCAATTTTGTGTCTTCTGCTGAATTTTGGAATAGAGGAAATAAATTCTTTTTGTGGTTGCCAGCAGATTGCCATGGTATGGTCCTTCAGTGCCATCATGTGTTTTGCTTTGTGAGATGATGCCTGCTTTGGTTAGTCTGGTTTGGAAAAATAGGACATAATGCTAGTGTATGCATTGCCATTTTGATTTGGATCATTAATACTATTTTGGAGAAAATCTTCAATTATCTCCCTTTACCACATACTTACTCAGTGTGTCTGAAAAACATTCCTTTCCCAGGAAAATGGCTTGTTAGGTTCTGCTGCAGGTGCAAAGTGCTGAATCAATTATTAAATCCTGGGAAAACTTTAATGGCCTGTGTGCTGGTGATATTTGCTTCTGGAGACCAGATGATATCTAATCCAAAATAAACCCTCTTGAACATCTAGCACAGGAGTGCCAGCACCAGCTGCTTTGATCTACTGCTCCACTTCTACTGTTCCACATTGCTTGCTAATGGAGATGTAGCCAAAATTGTTCCCTTTGGTTATAGGTCAGTAGATGAGGGCAATGAACGTTTGTGAGATGTATCTGTTCTACAAATCCAGTTCTAAGTTTCAGTGCTAACGTTTACAACTTTTAAAGTGCCATTGTTGTTTTTTTGCAACTTTCATTAATAGAAACTGTCAAGGAAACAGACAAATACCGCAAGTGACAGTGAATCAAACGACTAAATCACAACTGCCTTTTGAAATTTTGATCGTTTAGTCTGTTTTCTTCTTCCCTGCTTATATTCTTAAATCGATAAAATGGGAGTCTTCTGATTTCTCTCATTTCATACAAATTTCAGAATTCTATATAAAAATTATACTTCTCACCCCAAGTGTTTTGCTTGAGCTACTCATCTGCATTGGAAAAAAAAATAAATCAAGGCCGGTGTTTTATCACAGTCTTTAAGTTGGAGCAAGACAAAAAAAGGAAAATGGATGGTCTTCACAGGTGTTTACAGTTATTACCGTCTGACAGATTCAGATTACAACTGTAATAATTACAGTTATTACAAGACAGATTTCTTTTTTACCCCCCCCTTGACTGAATTCCTCAGTTTGAGGTTGTAGATGGCAGTTGTTAAGGTTTTGAAAACTTAAGTAATATTAGTTGCCAATGTTAAACCATTTTATCTTGAAGTAATACTTGTAAGAGTTCTCCCTATCTGTCCTGTGTTATTTTAAGTTCAGAGATTCCCAAGAATTCTGCACACTGACCACTAGTGTAATCTCTCACATGTCTCAGTCAATGATTAGAACTCAACCCAGTTATATTTCTTGTTTTTATTAGATCTTTGCAGAATCTAGGCCTAAGCTTTCAGTATTTTTGAGAAAACTTCCACGATTCAAATAACATTTCTGTTGATAGGGACATTTAAAAGAACATAATATATGTAATAATATATTATTAATATATAATTTATATCATATATTAATATAATAATTGAAAAATAATCTAAGGTTGTAGCAGCACAAGTATAAGCATTTTTTGTTTTATTAAGCCAATTAGTTTTTTTTTCAAACCACATTATTTGCAGTGTATTTCAAATTGTTTTTATTCAGTCTATTCCCTCATGCTGTAACTAGCATAAACGTTATAAAAGCATATTTTATTCTCCTAGGCTTAAGCATCTCTACACTCAATTTGAGTAATCCTTTCTGTTAGAGTGTTTATTACTGCTGCTTGTGTATGTAGCCCTTTAGCTAGCAAAAAACTAATGCATTAAGTGAAAATCAAAATTTAGTACTTAGCTGCTTCATATACTGGTTTTGGGAGGAGACCTCACTGAGGCAGGTACAAGACTTCAAAATGAAGGAAAACGTTGAAAGTCAAAACATCAGCATTGTAAGCCAGCAAGATAGGAAGAGTCCTCGTTATTTTAAGTAATCTTGTTATAAGAATATTGCACTGTTATGTTGAAGTGCATATTTCATTCTGTTTGCATATTTGTAAATGTTAGGCATAACTAAACCATTTCAAGCCTTAATATATGCTTTAATACAGTATAGCTGTTCTCACCAGCCTGTTAGCGTGTAGCTCCAACATATAATTCATATGAGTTTCAGGATTTCCTGTGAATATTGATAGCTTTTGGAATCCCATTCCTTGATAACAGTATTAAACAGACTATTAATGTTCACAGTGTTCTGAGCTTAAAAGAATTGTCATTTACAATAAAATCTGATTATAATTTTACTTTTTGATAATTGATGTATTAATTGAAAACTGGAATAGCTATAATAACTTTATAAATATGTTGTTAATGTTGCTTTTCAGGACTTAAGTGCTGGATGATCCCAGTCAGGTTCTGCTTATAAAGTGGGAAAAGAGCCTGCAAGGGATGAATTGCCATGTTTGCTTTGATTTTAAAATAGAAATTATAAAATGCATGTAGTGCAACTTGATTTTAACTAGGTCTTACTTGCTAGTGGAGGTGGCAGTCTTTTAAGCAGTGCTAATTTCAGCATCTTCAGTAGTGACCTGGAAGGGAAGGTTCTAAATGTTTGCAAATAAAATATGGTGATACTAATTTGGGAGGTGTTGAGAACTTGAGAGTGCAGAGAAAGCTTTGAGGATCAAGAAGCGAGCATACTGAGACAGGGGGTTTGGTAGATAGAAATAGTGTAGTCTCATCATTCTGTGAAAGAAATATCTGCAAGTGGTAAAAGAGGGGAAAAAAAAAAGCCGAGGAAAAGAGTTCTAAAGTCATGTGAATGTAGTGAGTAAGGTTTCAAGTAGTTGATATGATTCTATGTTGAGTATTGTAGATGGTAAAAGGGATTAATATTTTCCAAAATACAAAAGGGAGATGAATTTGTGACTTCTCCCACACGCCTAATCTTGGAAATTATTATCCCAAATATGGTAGCAGCAAAGCTTAAAAAAGCTTGGCTTAGAAATTCCTCAGTTACATTATGTTTTATGTCTTTCGATCAATATTGTGATCTTAAAATATTTTTGAGAGAGCTAAAGAATGGGAAATAATTGACAGAATTTTTGCTATGAGCATTGAATTAGTATGCGAAGTCCAGAAAGCCGTCATTTAAAAAATTCCCAATGCTTGAAGAGTAATATTGTTGTCATAATTAATCAACTTAATTTATAATTAAATTGACCGGACCCAAGATCTTGAAGATCATAGTGATCTATGGGAAAAAGGAATTTGCTGGTCTGATTTTGCTGCTGCTTTGGTGACCCTCAGAAGGTGAATTCAGTGGGTTTTCTGGACTCGCTTAGTTACCACAAGCTCTGAAAGTTTCTGCTCGTGTCAGTAGCAAGCCACTGAAGAGGAGTGCATGCTGCTGCTGCTCAGGAGAATGCAGAAAGAATTTGAGCAAATCTGATATCTACCTAAATTGATAATGTTTTAGAAATATGGAAGACTAAAAACCAGTTGGTTAAATGTTACGGTGCTACTTCAAACTATAATTTTCATTTGAACAGCATTTACCAAACATTCAGAAATTCAGTTGTGTTTGGTGCTCTAATATTTGAATACTTAATATGTTCTTCCTTTTTATTTATATGTATAAGAATATATATGTAGAATGATTGCAGTAAAATTACATTAAAACTGACCTGTTGCTGCGTTGCTGTTTCTGCTTGGTTCATGCTGTGCTATGCCTTTTAAAATTATTTTTATTTTTAAATAATGCACTGTCTTTCCTGCTTGAGCAAGTCTAATTATTGACTAAATGTTGGCTGATGTTCCATTTCCTTTTGATACTTGCTTATTGCAGGGTGGCAAAAGGATATCTGACATCTATCCCCAAAGTGGTTATGAAGTGTTTTGCAAAGAGTAGGACAAGAAAGCTCAAGTGTTTCTGCCTTGGTTTTTTCCATTCTTTAGCCAAGACAACAGTTAAGACATTTTCTTTCTGCGCTAATTGCAAACCCTCTTTATTTTGTTTTATTTTTTCCCTTTCCTGTTAAGGCACTCCTTGCTTGTATAATATGAAGGACTTGTCCTGTATCTTGGGTTTTGCAATTGCTGTAATTCCAGTTGAGTCGGGGTTGTTCTAGTGGAAATCCTGACAAAAGAGTAACTCTAGTGTTTTGTTTAATGAAATATGGGGTAGTGCAATGTAGGAGTTTGAAATTCTGTAACTACAATATGGAGTTTTTATTTAATATATAACCTTGTTCTTTCTATAACAGGTAGTTGTATTTGGGGAAAAACTGAAGGATCCACTGGCAGACACCAGAACGTTATAAAAGTAAGTCTTTATTTCTATTACCTCTTGTTAATCTTATGAATATAATGGTCAGCATGCTAATGCAGATGTGTATTTTGCATTTCCATCTCTTTGGAATACACCAAAGTTAGCATCCCCTAGCATTTCCCTTGGTTTTTTTTTGTTGTGTTTTTTTCCTACCTCGTTCTTTTTACTTTTGTTATGACTTTCTGGTTTCTGGGATGATGTGGAGGACTTCTAGGGGAAAGGGTTGGGGGGAGGCAGGGAGGAGGAACTGCTTCTTCCGAAATTCTTCACTTGGGCAGTGCCTCAGTGTTGGAGCTTAAAATATTCCTACTCCATCATTTGATGGAAACGTGAATGTGAAGTCTCACATCTTCCTTTCTGAAGACACTTTCCAATGAAGCACTCTGCTTCCTCCCTCCTTCAGGCAGTCAAACAGTCCACTCTGTTCACAAAAGCCTCACAGAATAATTTAGCTGTGCATGAGTCACCCGCGCTGGGAAATCTGGGCATCAGAACCGCTTCCACAGCTGCACAAATTGAGGATTGTGCAATCTACTTGGAAAAATTATGCCCATCATTAAATATTTTTAAAATGTTTTATTTACGTGTTTGCATTTCTGCATGAGATGGATAATTAAGTTTCAGATTAAATATTAACTTTCTACACCACCTGTCATTTGTTCTTTGGTGTTGCTGTTAACAGCTCTCCTAACCTTTTTTTATGTGTGTCCACTTGGGACACTTCTACAACTCTAACAGTTAACAGCTCTCCTAACCTTTTTTTATGTGTCCACTTGGGACACTTGTAGTTACAAAGAGCTGCTGTTGCTACAAATCATTCTTAAATTTTCTTAGTTTCATATCACTCATTTTGGTGAATACTCCTGCAGAAGTCTCATAAGTACTAAGGATCATCTTAAACCAGTCACAGTTCATACTAATTAACATGTTAGTTGATAGACAGGGTGATGACTACTTAGCACCATGTTAGGTATATAAACTCCTGTGCTTTAGGTTTTGCTTGAGTTTCCCATTGACTGTAGGGCTGAGTTCTGGATTTGTTTTCATCTCCAGAAGCTGATCCATGAGCCTGGATCAGTGGCTACAAACAAACCTCCTTCTCTCCAGAAATTTCATTTGTCACGGGTTGCCACAAGAGATGCAGCAACGCATGGGAGAGTACAGATGTTTCATTTAAATATGAAGCAGGCTTCTCAAGCAGTAGCTACAACACTTGTTTCTTTGAGCACAAATTGGAATCTCGCTTTTCCTAATTTTGTTCTCTGGTTGTAATTTAACACGTGGCGTAGGTCAGCGTGAAATGGCTTTGTTGCCAAAAGATGTCTAACCTGGTGATTCACTGCTTCCCCTGTGCCAGCACAGCTTTTGAGCAGGCATATGGTGAAACAAATTTAGTTGATTTAGCTGAATGGAACAATATTTGGGTTAGTTTTAGGCTGGACCAATTTTCTACTGTGTTAAATGTATGTTCACGGACACTAACGCTAACGGAAGAGAAGGGAGTTTTATATGGGTGTGGAAGTGAGTGGTCAAAGTAGTGATCAGAGGCTAATATTATGAGAAGTTGCAGCTTGACCAAGGAGTTTGGTAAAAGTGCTTAAAAATAAGAATAACTGTTACAGTGTGAAGTGCATCATGTCTGTAGCCATGTGATCTTACCTGTGTGGTCTATGTATATATTGGTCTTGCTATCTTTAGTAATTCTTCACCTGTGGAGTTATTCAGAGGAAGTACTTAGTCTGTTTCTCCCACAGCCTAGATGAGTTCCCTTTCCATGAGCTCAGAGTAAGTCTTTGTCTCCTGTTTAAAAAACAGGAAATAAAAAAGTGCCTGACTGAGAAGCAGTAAGATGTTTCTGGAGATCGGGATGTGCTAGATAATGGTATTTTAAAGGAATAAGTTGTTATGAAATGGTTGTCCTTTAAAAGTTGAGGTGGGTTATAAATCAAGCAAAACTGATTTAAGACTCATAGTTATATCCTTAAAATGTCTCCTAAGAGACTGTAGAAGCATCTGGTGCAGAAATAATTTGCGTAACTTAACTTCTCACAGACCCTATTGGTCATCCATTGACTTCTTGGATTTCTGAAGACTTTAGAATGCAATAGTGAGATGTGTAAAAAGTGCAAGTGTTCATTTGGATATAAAAGCTGATAAATCTTCATTGGGGTAGATTTTTCTGGTGTAGGATAGAATTTTGGAATGAGTCATCAGTATGAATTTCAAACACTGCATTTTAGCTCCCTTTCCTACTCACAAAACACACACGTGCATACTAAAAGTCTGGCAGTTAAGGTCCTCACCTAACATGTAGGTTCATGTTTTTCTGCAAGAGTAACTGTAGTGGACAGCTGAGTATTTGTTTTTGTCAAAGTAATAGTAACGTCTCATTTTCTAAATTTAAATATGAGTTTATATCAACACTGAGCAGAAACTTTGTATGGAATGGAAGAAGAATGTATTTGGCGTTATCTTGCTTTGAATGTGTAATAACTATGTGACATAACTATGTCTGTGGAATTTGGTAATTAATTTTCTCCATGACAGTTTCCAAAAATGAGCTAATTTTTTATATCTAGACATTCTTCTCTCTTGTTATTGGGGTAGAGGAAAAACAATGTTTAACTCTTTTTGATTTGTCTCATTTCTTGGTGAATTTTCATGTATATTTTCCAGTGTAGGAATAAAGTGTTTAATATCTTTTTTCTCTTTGCTTAAATCTATTCGTATTCTTGGTATTATTTATTATTATATTATTTATTATTTTAGACAAATTGTTGTTTAACCTAACATTTGCATCCAATACAGAACATTTAAAAGTGCTTATGCTCTGTTTCATAAATATGCACATTTGTAATTGGATGAATCATTTCAAAGTGTTGTTAACTCCAGGATAGATATCTTGGTACCATATTTTACAGTGGGGTTTTTTCCTTAAACTTCTATTAATATTGAGAAATGGAGTGAAGAACTGAAGAACTTTTTTGTCTGGTAACTTTATTCTATAGAAAGTAATTGTTTTGTATGTAGTGGCTAATTTTGGGGGGTAATTCAGTGGGAATTTAAACTTTTGAGCATGTGTGTATGTGGTGCTATTTCCCCTTTTGAATTTCTGGAAAAACCTGTGCCAATTACCAACCTTCTCAGGTCCATTTAAGGGGCTGGAAGAATGAAGCTGGGATTTTCTTTGTTCATTGTTAAATATACTAAGTTTAGATGCCACTTGTGAAAGAGAATAACAGAATCTCCAGCTTTCACACCATCTACAGCACTGTTTTTGGCAGCGCAGGGAACACGGATTTAGAATCTCTTCTTGAGCTGGTTGGCTGCAGGTTGATGCTGCCCAGAATCCCAGCAAAGGAGATGGAGATTTACAGAGACATGAAAATTTTTGGGTTTGAATAGTGACACTAACATGTCAGCTTCTCTTGATTCAATCTCATCCTCTGAAGTACTGTTTGGTTTTATTTAAGTGCCATTTAAGGGAGGGCAGTGGGTGTATTCTTCAGTATTGATGAGCTAAATTATATTTTAGGTTTGCAAACATGGTGTATAGTCTTAGGTCTAACCCCTTGTTCCTCATTTCAGATCCAGCAGTGGCAGATGTAGTTAAGAGGGGTCGAGGGGTGCTGTTCCTCAGCTGTGCCAACTGTCAAAGGTACACAAAGCCACACTTTTTAATAAGAACAAGATAATAAAGATTATATTTAAAACTGTGTGGGATGTGGGTTTTTTAGACACATCATTTCACCGGTCTGCTTCAGTGTGTCTGCAGAGCTGAAGGGGTGAACTCCTCCAGCAAAAGCCACAAAAAAAGGTTGGCAAGAAGCAGGGTGGAGCCTCATAAATAAAAGCCAGTACCAGTGGAATCGCAACATGTAGCCACAGACTGTCTCTTGTACAGACCAGTCGCACAGGATTTACAGGTGTTATTTCTGCCACACTTAAGGGTTTGTTATTGAAGGAAGGGGATCTCCAGTGAGGAGCTGTGAATGCAAAGGACTGAGAAAATATTTTAAATGAGAATAAAGAAGATTAGCAGTTGTTGCTGATGGCCAGGTCCTTAAACACCGCCTTTCAAATTTTTCTTATAAACTTAGGTTCGTACTGGTTTTTTTTATTATGCTTTATGCTTGTCTACTCCCTGCAAAGGAAATGGACCTAAGCAAGCAGCTGAGATAAGTCTGGCTAAAAGTCACTGTAAACAATGTTCTCATAGACGATGAGGATTTGAGGAAAAAGCAATTCTCTCCTGCATTCTTCACATATTAGACTGTCTCACTGTCAGGAGAGAACTTTACTCTGTAGCTTGGGACTGAATGCAGTTTGCAATTTCCATTTTTTCTTAGCTCATGGTTAGAGGAAACGCTCCTACCCACCGTTCCTCTTTCCATTCTCATCCATTCACATATTTTCCTATTAAAAGGCCATCTGGGATCAAACTGTGTGGATGCCTGTGCTAGAAGCAGCACTCTCCCACTCTCTTTTCCTTTATCTGCAGAAAATGACATTTCTGGGATGTCAGCTCTTCTGCACGAGTGCAAACCAAGATTACTTGTTGGTAGAGAAAAGGTCGCACCGTATGGCTGTTCCCAGCTGCTAGAATAACCTTTTCAGCTGCAAAGTTTGGACAACATTTCTTGAAATTCCTTTCAGCCCCATCTTCTGATATTTTTGTTTGTTGGTTTGTTCAGCTTTTTTTTTATTTTGAGGTAGGAAATGTGACACACGTGTCAGTTTTAAAAGCATGGTATTTTCCCAGGGCCTTTGATAGGCTGTGAGAAGGGATCAATCAGTCATTCGCCTAATTTGCTTTCAGTTGGTGTGTACACCATTGCAAGCAGAGGAGCAAGTATCTCAAAACCTGCTGGCTTGTTCTGTTAAGCCAAACTACAGCTGTTTAGAGAGCAGGTTATGGTTCACCCCTCTAAAGATCTAGAGTTTATGGTTACTAGAGAAGAAGTAGACCAAAGCAAAGTCTTCCCCTTCTTCTCCCCTCTAGAGCAACTAAAGAGAAAAATGGTTGTGCTGGGGAGGGGGAAATCTATGAAGCAAAGAGCAAAATGGAAAACGTGAGCGATGGTCATGCGCTACTCTGGGCATGAAAGAATAGATGGGTCTCTGCTTGCCCATTACGGTGGGATCTCCCAGTAAAGTAAAACTCCACAAGTTCATAATCCAAGTTATCAGAATCCACTGTTTCTTTCCTCCTGGAAAGGAGTACCAAGAAAATTTGTAATTATCTTCAGAATCTATATAATGATGGGTGTCAAGAGGATGGGGCTAGGCTCTTCTCAGTGGTCCCTAGTGGCAGGACAAGGGCAGGATAGACACAAGCTGGAATGAGGAGAAGCTTCTCTATTTTGTGGGTGCCAGAGCCCTGGAACAGGCTGCCCAGAGCAGGTGTGGAGTCTCCTTCCCTGGAGGTACTCAAGCCCCACCTGGATGTGTTCCTGTCCAGCCTGCTCTGGGTGACCCTGCTCTGGCAGGGGGGGCTGGACTAGATGATCTCTGAAGGACCCTTCCAACCCCAACCATTCTCTGATTGTGTGATAACGAGCAGGGCTTTTGGTGCTGTGCTGGCCTTGGGGGTCAGGTTCTGGCTCATCTCTTTGCTCACAGTGTGGTTTTTCTGCTCCTTGGCTGGGTGACCCTGGTGCGGGGCGAGTGGTGGAGCTCTGCTGGGCCGTCACAAGCTCAGACCAGCCTGCTGTGATTTTGCTTCTTTAAACAAGATCTTCTCTCAAACTAATCCTCAGTGATTATAATAACTAGTTTGCTCCCTTGACAAAATAGGATTATGGCAGAGAGATCAGGTTGTATTAAAGAAGTTAATCTGTTTCTGTTTGCAGAAACTGTGGTGTTGGAAAACTGTGTTGTTTCCTTTAGTTTTCCTGTGATCTTTCCTGGGTGAAAGTATTTATCTTAATAATACATGTCACCTCGCATTAATTCCGTCCAAGGACTAATCTGTAAAGTCATGAAAACATTACTTACAAAATCAAGGTATTTATGTGACTATAAGGGCAATACTGATTCTTCTTAAAGATATTTAGTGGCGTTACTGTTACGGTGAAGTGCTGGAGAGGCTGTAAACAAAATTAAGTGCAGGCAACACATTGACTATTGTCCCATCCAGTTTTTAGTCTGGTCCTGAGAGAACATCTGTGTAATTTCACAGTTTGGTCAAGCTTTGAATTCGTTTCTAAGATTTAACATCACTAATGAGCGTACCGGTATTGACGGTAAAACTGAAGTTACTGACATTCTTTCCATCTAAAACATGGAACGTTTTATTGGATGGTGTGAACTTTTCACTATTACCTTAGGTTGGATCGTGGCTTTTTACCCTATGACTTATTCAGAACCTTGTTTCTTTGGCCAAGCAGTAACTTGGCACCCGGTAACTTATTGCCTCTCGGTGAGTGGTAAGTCAGCATAGCCCACGAGTTGCAGCGTAGCTAGTTTTGGGGATTTTGCTACAGATTGAGCAATGCTGTGTATTAATAGTTCCTATATCCATGGCAGCAGCTAAAGGTTTTGATTGAGAACCTCAGCTTTCTTAAAAATAGTAAGTTTCTAGCCTTCTTGGTTACAGAAAAGTTTGAAAACATTTACTGAATGTGTAGAAAAGACGGAATATCTAGAGACAAATACATATAAGTCATTGTATTAAAAAAAAACCACCAAACCCTCATGAATTGTGGAGACAGACCCGTGACCTTTGGACGCTTGTGGCTGACCAGGCTGGCGTGTGGGCGTCTTAACCTTTCTGCTGGCTTTCACACACATGCCATTTCTACTGAGTTAGAGAGCTGTGTGGTTTGGGTTACAAAAGCTTTTCCACTGCCACGAGCTTTCCTTTTGGTCTGGTTTAAGCTTGCCTGTGTTCATTTATGACATAAACATATTCCTTTCCTCCTCGTCTTAAAATTCCTTTTTGAAACATTCTCAGCTGTATCAGTGAACGTGCTTCTGATAGGTCTCCAGGTCTAGTCTATGTGATTGGAAAGGGATTCCAAGTCCTTCCAGATAGAAAACTCATCTGAAGGGGAAGAAGTTGGCAACGATCCTGTGATGCTTCCTATTACATGACTGAGCCATTGACTTTGGGTGACCACTTCTAATCAGAATAGCAATAATTTCAATAGCTTATGTGACCGTATCATTAAATCCGTCACTACAGTACAAATCCTGCAGTGGAGTGAAGAGATTAATCTTGCTCTAAATATGAAATACTTGAAATGTATATATTACCGCTATTCTTATTCTTCCAAAAAGCCACATGGAAGACTCTTGATCTAAGATTTTTTTTTTTTTTTTTTGCTTCTGTTTAAGACATTATCAAATATGATTCTGTGCTTAAGGCCTGTGGTTTTTTGTGTGAAGTGGTTAGCTGTGATTTTTTTTTTTTTTTCCTTGATTTTCTTCTTTTTAAATGCCCCTGTGCATACTGCAGAGATGAGGTCTGAAATTTTCCTCCTCGGAACTCTGTGAGGAGCTGGGTGAGAGTTGGCAGAGTTGTCGGACTCCAAGCAGTTTAAAAACACGGGTTTCATGTTGCAGTCCCTGTAACCTAGACTTCCATGGGACTCTTTGTCACTATTAATGTTTGCACTTGTCAAACGGAACAAAACAGAATAGGAGAGGAGGCTGTAAGCACCTAAAAAAGTAGGTCAATGGGCCAGCAGGTTATTTGGCCAGAAAAGAACGAGTGGCTTCATTGAATCATGCTGTAATTGTTTTTCTCCTGTTGGCAGATTGTTCTGCTATGCTTTAACTGCCCATGTTAATATTTGCATCTGTATTTTAACTGCTTAAGAGCCTCTATTAGGTGCAGGGGGAGGAGAAACTTAGCTTTTCTAATCAAACAGTAGATAATTTTGGTGTTTTCTGTAAAATCCATTAGTGAATTTCAGAGTAGCATAAGCTTAGTTTTTATATCCCAGCCTCCTTTTTAGAATCTAATATGCTTTAAAATAAAATTTTCTGGAAGTAGTACATTTACATTGTCTAGCAGAATACATTTTATTTTAAGAACAGTAAGCAAGACAGAGAGAAAAGGGGTAAAGATGGGTGAAAAAACTGATTTCATGTAATAAAAATGTAGAAAATAGCATGATTCAAGGGAACAAACTGTAAAAATGAAAAGTAATGGCATAAAGAGGCTGGAGGTGGGTTAACATTTATACTGGCGCTGAGATTTTTTATGGAAAAAGTGCACTTGTGAGGTAAGTTTGAAATACATTCTTCAAAAAAATAAAAATGACATCAAGATTAAAGACCGGCATAAAGTGATAGCTTAAAGCAGAATGAAATTGTTTCAGAATATCCATTTTATAAAGAAGAGCTTTAAAGCAAGGAGAATTCAGATAGTGAAATACTTGGGATATTTTTAGTGAGCAGGATATTACATATATAAATTACTCTTGCTGGAGTGATTCCTTCTCTTTTATTAAAAAAATAAGTGATCGTTGTAAAACTCCTTGATTATAAAATTCTCTTTGTTGTATATTTTTACAGTTCAGAATTTAATGCTTTTCTGCAGAAGAGGCTACATCTAACTCCGCATTGTTCTTCAAAGGAACCAGGTTTCATCACTAAACCTCACACTTCAACAAGTCCCAAGGTGTAAAAGGTAAAATTGTACTCTCATAATTAAAGCCTCTGGCTTTCAGTCATCTGCAGAAGGGCTGAGTATCGATGTTACGTAGTGTCTTTTTGTTCTTCAGAACATGGCTGGATTTGATTCTTACAAATAGACATAGTCCTTGATTTCTTGAAGTGTTTGCCTTAAACTTGAGTGGTTTCATTGGAGTTATCTCTGCCTTCTTGCCCATTGGCATGTTTAAATGCTGAAAACGCTTAACGTATTGCAAACTTGGATGCAAAGGCAGAAGGCTCAGACCTTGAAGAAAGGGAAACAAATGTACTACAGGTGTCTTTCCTGTCATCTTTAAGTTCTTTTAACTATTAGTCTTGGGTACTATATCTAAGTTGCTGGTTCTGACATAGGGCATGTGTAAGGTCCCAGTTCTCACCTCCAGTTTCTCACAACACGTATACTGTGATTGATTTTGTTGCATTCTAGAAATCGAGTCCTTTGATTCTTAAATTCTGATTCTGCATAATGAAGATGTCAGTTGTGTCACAGGTGAAAGGTTTTTGTATTTGTTTGTACGTGCATCTTTCTTTTGCAGATTAATGGAACAATATATCATTTGTCCTACAGAATTTCATATTACTCTTGATGCTTGTAATGTTAGGTACTAAATTAAATAAAAAAATTTAAAAGGGCTAAAAATATAATTATCCCTGTATTAGTGCATCCTGTGTAAGCTAAAGAAAACAAGTTTCTAATTGGTGCCTTGATTCAAAACGTAATTCCATGGCAGTGATTGTGGTTTGCTTTTAGTGCTCAGCAACCTGTCTGTTGGTGCTTGCTTTAGACAAAAATTTGAACAAACACTTCTTAATTTACTTTCCTTGTGCCATTTCTGTCTGGTTTTCACGTAGCACAACTCTGTTACTTTGTAAAGCCTGGCCAACTAATTTGAGGAATTCAATTTGTCTGTATGGCCAGCGCAATTGTTATTGTGAAGAGCTGGAGCGAAGGAATGGTTTGCTTCCCGTCTGTCTTCAGGGCACTAGATTTTGGAGGATAAAGGCAGGAGGAATTTGGCCCTTCTTAATTGAAGAATTGGGTAGTGGGGCTCCTGGGGAATCTGGGCAAAGCTGCTGCACACCTCGAGATGCTCCTTGAAAGAGACCGTGCTGCACCTCAGCTCTCCCAGCTACTCCCCTCCTGCACTCAAGTTATGAAACTTTGTGGGGAAAAAACCTCAGTCTTGGGAAGCAAACCTGCATTGTATGGGGCTGTGGCACATCCTGAGACAATCCGGTGGAAACATAAGCTTTCTTCCTCAGTTTCCCCATATATTAAAAAAACTGGGATACAATTTTCCTGGAACATTTTGCAGACTGTTTGGATCATGGGGTTGCAGCTGCCATTTTTCTTGTGGTGTTAACACTGCTCGTTCCACTGAATTTGGCACTTTGAGAAACAAACAAATCCTTCCTTCTCAGAAACTATGAGTCACTGAAGTGACTAAACCCAGCTCCTTTGAAATAAATGCAACGCATTTTTACTACAAAGTTTATAACATAGTAAAAATTCCCAAAGATCTGCAAGTTCAGCTCTTATAAAACTCCTTGCTGCACGCAGTTGTTCCGTAATCACTGACAGTGTCCCAGTCCTGCTGCTCCCTTTGAGCAGCCTCTGCCACCTGACTTTTCTCTATCAAGGAGAAAGGTTTAATTGCATTGGTTCATCTTTTCATAAACCTTACAGCCTTTCCATACTGTCGTGTAATTTTGGGGTACCTAAAGGTTGGTCCATGTTGAGTTAAATACTGATTTTAATTCTATATTCCTTCTCTCACTATTAATATTTTCAATCACATTCTTTATTCAAAATCATATATACACATGAAAAATGAAAAACGTCCTACTGAAACTTTTTAAGAATAAGTGACTGCTTTAAGAAATGGCCAGATTAACTATAACTTTCTCAGCATGGAGAGCACATTCTAGTGGGTATCTAATACTCATCATTTCACATATCTGTTATAACAATGTGCTCAAGAAAAAAATACAGTAGGAAATTAATAATAGCTGTAAAATACTATATCCCAAATCCTTGTTGTTTGTACAATTTCTAAATAGAATGTATTACTACCGAGGAGTGTATTTTATGCCTTTTCAACCTTCAAAATTGTGAGTGTCTTTTAGGTAAAAGTTAAAATAAAAAAGGAAAAGTTATATCTGAATTCAGAGTCAGAAAAAAAGGTTTATATGCTTTCAGTATAGAGTTATTAATCATAAAATTTAATAAAACAATGTTCTCTTGAACTCTTTGTCACGTAAAATGAGATATTAAAGCCCAGGTTTTGATGGTAGCAGAGACTGCGCAAGAGAAGGTAGGAAGACAGAGCAGAAGGTTGGAAGAGAGGGATAGATTGAGAGCAGAATGAAAACTTCAGTGTGCTCTAATGAAGAATGTGTTTGTTTCTCCAGAGTCACATTTTGGTGTTTTTTTCTTCTCTTGTAGGCAAACGTACAAATGTCTACCACAAGACTAAAGTGTGATATGTTATGTTTTTTACCATAAGCACCCATAAAATGAGCTCCATTGCAGACAGGTATGTTAATAGATGCTAACAGTTTTGGGGGAATTACTGTTCAATGCTTTCTTTAATACTCTTTGCTTAAGGTTAATATATAGAGAATATTCTTTCATGCAAAAAATGAAAGGAGTGAGCTTTTGGCTTTTTTTTTTTTTTTTCCACAAAGTTGTTTTGATAGTTGTTAGATGTGTTGATTTGTACTCAATGGAAATATTTATTTTTGTTGTTTGAGATGTGTCTTAAAATGTATTACTTGTTTTCAGCCATGGAACAGCATCTGTGCAATTTGAGTTGATTTTTAATGTTTACTTCAGGGTGGGGTTTTTTTGAGTACTTCAATATTTGCTTAAGGAAAAAAAAACAATAAAAACATTTAAACAATTAGTGATGGTGCGGATTATAGTAAAGTGACCTGCTAACCTATTTCAAGGGAAAAGTAATAGCTGAGACATGGTTTCTGCTTGATTCCTTGAGCTGGACTTTCTTAGCAGCTTAGGTGAACATCTGTCCTTAATATTCTGTGTATTGCCATTTTTGAGACTTCAGGCAATGAAACTTGCATCAAATTTACAGGAATTTAAACCAGTTCTAAATAAATAACAATAAAAGCAAAGGGTAAAACTTGTCCGAGTTCTCAGTTCTTTTAATGAGGGTTTGTGGTGTTTCACTGAAACTTTTGAATGTACAAATTCCTTTTAATTGCTTTTTGTTTATGTAGTAGCATACAAAATAATTATTTCCTAACATCACTGCTTATCATGATGTATGATTGCTTGGTGACGTTTACTTGCGTTAAGGGAAGGAAACATTAAGATAAAAAATTAAGGGTGGACACACAAAGGTCAGTGTGGATAGCACTAAATAGACTGAAAGCAGACAGAAGAAATTAGAGAAATCAAATGTGACAATTTATTATATAGCAGTTTTGGAAAACAGAAGAACAGTTCTGATTTTTAAAAGACAAGAAAATGAACAGAGATGTTGTATAAAGTATACTGAGGTATCTTCAAAGGAAAATGTTGTCATTTTGGTATTTTTACACCCCTTTAGCAGTGGACAGTTGTGAATTGAAGAAAATTTGTGTGACACTTGGAAGCAAATATAAGGAATAATTGTTGCTACTGTGTAATGTTTATATTAATTGTATGTTTATAAAATTACATACATGAATGAAGTATAGCATATTCCTCAGCCCTCTTCCATTAATGATACTTTAGTGTTTAAGAAAAACGTACTTCCTTACTGTAAATATTCCCAGTAATGGTAATAAAAGTTGCCAATAAGTAATAATAAATTATATTTATCCTCTCTCATGTTTTTCAAAAGGCTAAGGTAATCCAAATAATCAAGAGGATAGAAAAATAAAATCAAGTAGTGTTCAATTAAGTGCTTGCATAGGGTTGTAAGTTCTCATTAGAAATAGTCTGAAAACTGTTTGGGTTGTGTCAGAAAGGTGAGGAGTTTTGCTTTCTGTTTAGTAAATGTCCTGCAAGAACTTATAGCAGATGTAGCTTCAGGTGATGGATGATGGTCTTTGCAAGACACCACAGTAAAACAGCACTTGGGTTTCTTGATGTAATGGAGATGATGAATAATTTTTTTTTCCTTTGTTGCGGGCGTACGTACAAGAGGGAAATTTTACACTCTCATATTTGTTTCTTTCAGAAATGATGGAAGCATTTTTGATGGGCTGGTGGAAGAAGATGACAAAGATAAAGCAAAAAGGTAAGTTTTAAAGTTATTCAAAGCTAAGAAATGTCCTTGTATACAATGTACTTGTACACTTGGACTCACCAGGATGGTTTCTAAACAATGAAAATGTGATTCTTTTATAAATAACCACATTATTCGACAGCATTTCTTTTACTGTCATTATTCAGATATGTTGAGTATTTATGACTGTGGCTCAATTATTTGTATTATTCCAAAGGCTGAGCTGTACACCTCCATGGGAAGGAGGAAGCCATTCTCCAAAAATGGTGTCTGACATTTGCAGTCCTTCCTTTTGTGACTGTTCTCACAGCAGAGGATCTTAAGGGGCCCTTTGCATCAGGAACTTGGCAGTAGTATGCAGCTGATTCTAAAAAAGGTGTCATGGTTGTCATAGAACATTTTCTGTTTTGTTTTTCAGAGTGTCTAGAAACAAGTCTGAAAAGAAACGTCGAGATCAGTTTAATGTTCTTATCAAAGAGCTGGGTTCCATGCTTCCGGGTAATGCTCGGAAGATGGATAAATCCACTGTACTGCAGAAGAGCATTGACTTTTTACGGAAGCACAAAGGTAGTTCTTTGTAATAATAATAAATAAAAAAAAGTGAAATTTTATTTTAATTATATTCACTTAGCACATAAAACATTAACAATTTTGCAGCTCCTTTAAGGAAATTGTCAGAAAATGTTAGGAGTTCCCAAAGAAAGGTATCCTTAATATAATAATTTAGGTAGCAGAGATATAACTATATTTTTGCTAATATTTTGCAAAAGCCAGTACTAACATGTTTTTGACCCGTAGTTGTCAAGGAAGTCTGTTTTATAACAAGAAGCATTTATTTTTGAAATAAACGTCAAGTTTTTTGTTGTGGACAGGCGGACACCTTTAGAATATAGTGGCTTCATAAGACACAAGTTGTCGAGTTTAGGTAGCAGAGATATAACTATATTTTTGCTAATATTTTGCAAAAGCCAGTACTAACATGTTTTTGACCTGTAGTTGTCAAGGAAGTCTGTTTTATAACAAGAAGCATTTCTTTTTGAAATAAACGTCAAGTTTTTTGTTGTGGACAGGCAATATAGTGGCTTCATAAGATACAAGTTGTCAAAGTTTTGCTTCACAGGAAAACTCTGCTGATCCCTTTCAAGTGGAAGGGATCCACTTGATCCCAAGGGATCCAAGGGAGCACTTATTTTGATATTTAGAAAAGACTGGTTTGAACAGTTGGTTTGTCTTTCCGAGTTCCACAGCAAGCAAGATAAATCACTGAAAAAGCTGGTCTGAGGGAGCTTAATGCTCCCTCTCTTCACGTCAGGTATCGACATAAGTGGCTGCTTTAACAAAGGGCCTTGTGGTCTCCAGTGAGCAGTATCGGGGTAGGTCATTGGTGAGAGAGGGTGGTATGGTGTGGGCATACAGACCAGGAGCGTGGGCATTTTCTCTTTTCCTTTTAGCTGGAAAAAGAAAAAGCCCAGAAAATCCATAAATACTTTTAGCTGAACTTGTAATTTTCAAGACAAATCCACTGATGTATAAGCCAGAGAGTGTGTGTGTGTTGTTTTGTAAACCATCATGTGAAATGTCAAAATGATTAATGTCTTTGAACATCCTTGCTGTGATTTGTTTCTCTGGTTGTTTGCATCAGCTGATGATGGGATATACCCAGATAGGTTGTAGTGAAGTTCATCAATGTGCCCCAAAGCCAGCAATGTGCCCTTGTTGCCAAGAGGGCCAATGGAATCCTGGGCTGCATCGGGAGAAGTGTGGCCAGCAGGTAGAGCGAGGTCATTCTGCCCCTCTACTCTGCACTGGTGAGGCCACAACTGGAATACTGTGTCCAGTTCTGGGCTCCCCAGTTCAAGAGAGACAGGGAGCTACTGGAGAGAGTCCAATGTAGGGCACCCAAGATGATTAAGGGATGAGAGCACCTCCCTTATGAGGAAAGGCTCAAAGAGCTGGAGCTCTTTAATCTGGAGAAGAGAAGACTGAGGGGAGACCTCATCTATGTTTACAAGTTCCTAAAGGGTGGGTTGAAGGACGATGGAGCTGGACTCTTTTCAGTGGTTCCCAGTGACAGGACGAGGGGCAACGGACACAAGCTGGAACATGGGAAGTTCCACTCAAATATGAGGAAGAACGTCTTTATGGTGAGGGCGACAGAGCCCTGGAACAGGCTGCCCAGGGAGGTCGTGGAGTCCCCTTCTCTGGAGATTTTCAAGACCCGCCTGGATGCGGCCCTGAGTGATGTGCTCTGGGCAATCCTGCTTTAGCAGGGGAGCTGGACTAGATGATCTCTAGAGGTCCCTTCCAACTCTGTCAAATCCGTGAATCATTAAAGATCATTGTTTCTGTCACGAGAAAATTCTTCCACCAAGCTTACACTTATTTATGGCTGTTTGATATTTCTGTATATAAAAAAATCCCTGTTCCTGCTCCTACACTTGTTCTTAATATGGCACTTTGTGGATCACACTGCCAAAAGTAAAAAAATCCCTGTTCCTGCTCCTACACTTAATATGGCACTTTGTGGTTCACACTGCCAAAAACAAGATTAAAAATTCAAGAAAATGAGCTCTTTCACTAGTTAACCTATTTCCCTGAGTAATTTCTGACCGTGCACACTAACTAGAAAGCAGTAGGGACAAGAAGAGCAGCCATTAGGTTATAGAATAAAATAAGGAAAGCTGTTAAGTGGGTGGATAGGTACATATTTATCAACAATATGTGTGTCAATTTAAGGTATGATAAATATTTTTCTGTGCCCTGGCGCGTCTCTTCCATTAGTGTTATAGTTCAAGTAGGACCAGATGTTTACTCAATGGTGCCGTTAAAAGGTAAACATAAGAATTAAAACAGAAAGGGAGAGGAAATAATTTGTGCAAGAATTCATAGGTTTGGGAGTTTTTTACCAATTAAATATTGATTATGCTGTTCTAATTCTCTGGCATAAGTTCATCTCATAACAAAAGAAAAGCAGTATGATATTTTGCTCCTTTTCTGTAAAAGTCGGGTCTGTAGATTCTAAGGCGTTTGTGAAAATCGGTTCTGTTTCAAAATCACTTGACCTTCTATTGATGATTCCCATCATAAAATTTAGAGTGTAGAAAGAACACATCAGCTGACCAGCAGCACCAGTCATACTTTGTTCTTCAAAGTGCTTTCTGAGATTATTTTTTAAGATTATTTTTATTTTTTTAGGATAAAGGAGAAGAAAGCAGCTCTAGAGATGGGTGCCTTTTAGGGCATGGCTCTTCTGTCCTTCACCTGGTGGGACAGAACACAGCTTTGTGTGACTGCATGTATCATATTAAGGTCTCTAAAGCTCGGGCTGCCGGTGCTTAGTAGCATTGCTCTGCACTGATTTACATTAAAATGTTTTGGACAAAATGTTGGGAAAGGTCAGAAGCGCCCTTTGCTTCCTGAGGTGCTTGGATCTGTTTGGTACAATAAGGCAGAGAGTGACCCCAGCAATAAATGAATTGTTCAGCGCTGATTACCCGCTTTGTTGTTGAAAACCCTACTGTGTTGAACCACCAGGTTTTGATTAACTGCCTTGCTTCTGGTTCTTTCTGGACCATGTCCACATTGGCCAGGCTTGATACTCTGGAGTGGCAGCTCCAGATGAACTATCTGAGCTGGTTCTTGGCCAGGGTGGATTCTGTTTCTCATTGGGGAAAAACAGTAGGCTAAGCACATTGAAATTACATTACTGAGAGCTTCTCCTTGACTAATACTGCCTGTCATCTTCCTTTGAATTTGTAAACAAGAAATTTTTGAAAATTGTGAAATACTGAAGAATTACGTTGCTTATAATTACAACTGGTAGACTGACGCTCATACAGCCCACAAATGAAGGCTGCAGATCTTGGCCCAGCTGGCAGTTTCTTTGGAGGATGCTCAGTGCTGATGCAGCGTTGCTACAGATCCAGGAACTGAAGGCTGGATGAGTTTAATGTGCAAGCCTGGTTCTGCTTCTTTGTCTGGTGTCTAGCTCAGGAACGTGAAATCAGTGTCACTTATCTTTGAATGCAACTTTCTGTCATAATTTTTAAGCGTTTCTCTAAATTTACCAAGTCAACCAAGTTGTTACTTTAGCTCTATTTTCCAATACCATACATTCTAATTACAAGAGATGTAAAAGAACACCCGTACTTGTGCTAAGATCACAGATTATTCAGAATGGTTCACTAAAGGCATAAACTTCAGGGGTTTTTTTAGTATAAATCCTTTCTACTGGAAGCCAGACTGACTTTTTGAAAAGATACCATCTCAAAACAGATACAAAAGCCTCATCAATCTATGTCTTTTGCGAGATCTGATCATTGGAAATTCTGGTGTGTCTCATTTGTTGGTATTTTTTCCCTCTCTCCTTGCAGCTCCCTGCTTCTTGCCAGTTTTGTGCAAGACATTGCTGCTGTTTACTGTACTTTTAGTTAAGTCTAAAGCTCTTCCATAAAGTTTTCCCCCTTCCATCTGAGAAACAAAGTTCCGAACTGTTCCAGCCCTTTGCATATTTAACTCGATTCCAGGTTTTCTCTTCTCTCTGAGCCATCTGAACTAACAGACCAGCTTATGGCCTTTTACAGACTTGTCCTTTAGCAGTCAAGATGCCTCAAAGATATAGAATCATAGAATTGTTTAGGTTAGGTGGGACCTTTAAGATCATCAAGTCCAACCATCAACCTAACCCTGATAAAAAAAAACATCTGCATGTCTTTTAAATACCCCCACATGGTTTGGTTCTTTGGGTTTGTCTAAATCCTTCATTCATGAAGGATTTGTTCTTGTTCTTAAAGCAGTACGTCTGTAGTGCCCTTGTTACTCATCAAAACCAAAGTACTGCGTGCTCTTGCTTCATGTTGTTTGAGTTACCAGTTGATAAGGGAGCGTCAGCTTTCAGAACCCAGGGTCTGGTTTTGCTTTGCAGCCGTTGTTTCTGTCACTTACGTATGGGAAGTTAATCTGTACATTTCTCTGAGTCCTACAGGAATCTCTTCAAAATTCGTCTCTCTGTATGAATCAGACAGAATTTTGCAGTGGAGTCTGTCATACAGCTTTTAATAGTCTTTGTTGCAAGCAATTTCTTTTTTTAATGTAATAACCTTATTTCTTTACAGAAAAGAGTGGGAAGAAGAGAAAGGACAGTATTTTTAGTACAAAGGTTAGAATAACCAGGATCAGCCACGATACTTGAGGATTAGATGTTTTAATGACCTAAACCAATCAAGAATTTTGGCTTTCTAAGTCTTTGAACAACAACACTTTCAATAAAACATTTTATTATAGTGTCAGAGGAAAGAATATTTTTTTCTATTGTCAAAAATCCATTACTTACTGTCATTAACTTCAGCATTACCATGGGGTCTGGCAGGACTGTAGCACAAACTGGTAGCAGGAAAGAGAAGACAGATCTCATTAGGACATAGGGGAGAAGACATTTATTTTCTTTTTAAGGAACAACATCTAGCTGTAATGAATGAACAGCACAAGAGACTGGAGAACCTTCTGCTATTTCCTACTGTGTATACGTAGCTTAGTGGGAAAATAATGGCTTTTGGGAGTGTAAATACTTATATTGTGTATATGTTTGATTGTAGAAATTACTGCACAATCAGATGCCAGTGAGATTCGACAGGACTGGAAACCGACATTCCTTAGTAATGAAGAGTTCACACAGTTAATGTTAGAGGTATATTATTTCTCTTTTTCTGGGAGTACAATATTTCCTCATAGGGAGTCATTCCATGATGAAATTTTTCAGTTTGACATAACTTTTTATTTTCATGTTGTAACTATATGGTTTCATGAAGATAAACAGTCAAAATCCCTTTGTGTACAGTGTAATGCAAACCAGTTTTTATTTTAACTGAATTTTCAATTACATAAAAAATTGTAGCAGAGCAAGTCCACAAATGAACATATTTACTGTCAAGGTGGGTATTTTAAATTATTAACATAAGGAAGGTACTAGTAAAATAGAGAACTGTTATGCATAACTTAGAATTTTAATTATAAAAAAAGGCTCAACACATCCATGTAACTTGTGAGCAATAAAGTGTTTAATTTCTTTGCTTGTTACACTTTCCAAAAATGGTGTGTGAGCATTACTTTTCTAAGGAAGATTACATGACTCGTTGGATTACTACTAGAAATAAACTTTCAGTATAAGCTGTCATTTCCTTGAAAAAGAGGATAAGTCATTTCTATCTTGTTAGTGAAACAATTTCCAATAATAGCTAAATGAAAAATATTAAAGTAAATGAACAAACACTTTGTATTTTCATTCTATAGTTAAACCTTTTCTTTGAGGCACAGATTTAAAAAATAAAAAGTTCTCATTTTCTGTACTTGAAAAATTTTCAAAAAATCCTCTGTGGTGAGTTTGTGTATTTTTTCCAACAAGTTAGTGAACTAGTTCCTTCTGGTTTTTGAGATTTTTCTTTTTTTTGTGGCTGTTTCTGGTGTTTCTCAAGTCATCTTACAAAATATTTGTCCATAACTAGTGACTGTAAAGCTAGAACAATATAATATACAAATGTTTTTAAAATATGTGAGCTTTAAAATTTCCTATTTAGAAATACAGTTCTCTTACACCTTTATGTTTGGTGCTGTTCAACTAAAAGATACTTATGTTATTTTCCGTGGAAATAAGTTTGAGTTAAATAGAAGATAATGCAGTCAGAAATGTATCTCATAGTTTTCAAATCTCAATAAAATCTTGCTACAAATTTTTTTTTTATTGAGATTGGGAATATTGAGATTTTAAATACTGAAATTTGTCGATTTTACCACCTTTTTTACTTGTTCGTCTCTTAGTTTTTCCACCTTTTCTTGCTTTTGTCTCTAGGTCTTTTTTCTGAATTTTCTGATGTTTGAAATGATGATTGAATTACAAATAAGAGGCAGGCAGAGTGGGAGATGGGGGAAGCAGTACAGCTGTATATGGACTGAAGTCTTGCTTCTGAAACCACAGGTTATTTAGGAACAGAACAGTATGGGAATTGTAATGCTTATAACAGCAAAACCAAGAAGTTTTGGTAGTGAAAGGTATTTCATTTTTATAATAAATGAAACTAAAATTTGTCTGAATTATTTTCCATGTTGAATGTAGCTTAACATTTTTAATGTGCTCTGTTGCTTTTTGTTTAACTGCCCATTATGTTTAATTTCAGGCTCTTGATGGTTTTTTTTTAGCAATTATGACAGATGGAAATATAATATATGTGTCTGAAAGTATAACTCCCTTACTTGAACATTTGCCAGTAAGTACCAATTGCTTTCTGTAACATCTCAGTTTACCTATAGATGGTGTTCTGCTATGAGTAATAATTAATCGTTAGCCTTTTTGGCATTACAGAACAGATGTATGCTTTGTTCCGACGCTTCTGCTTTTTCTTCAGTGCAATTCCTTCCTGCTGGTGTGTCTCCTGTATTGGGCATTTCCTTTGGAAATGCAGAACGTGGTCTGCACTCTGTTGGGCAGAATTATGAAGTGCCAGGCCAGCATCAGTGTCTCTTCAGCATAACTGGAATGAACACTGCTGACTGCAGGAGACCCTGTAGAGTTCACACCTATCTCAGTCTCTGCAGGAGTCAGAAGGGTATTGCTAAAGAGCAATAGCCTTGGAATTTTTTTAAACTACTTCTTTACTCCTTTCCTGCCACAGAACTCTTCTAAGACATACATTGATGCCAGTTCTGCTTTTTAAGCTAGGTATATCCTTTGAGTTTTATCATTCACTCATCTTTAATCTTGGTGACATTGGTCACTGGTAAGTGTAGCATTCTAGTTTTTTTAAAGTTACCTTTGAATAATGTTTTTCTGAGTTGAGACAAATCAGTGCTCGAAAATGCAAACAACCGATGAGTGAAACAGTGAGTTACGTTTTAGAAGAGAGGGACAAGTTGCTGTTAGAGGCTCATTGTCTTACCATGATAAGGAGTATTTTGTAAAGCTTGGAGTGGGGTATTTAAAAAATGATTCTGCAAAACACAAATTCCACTAAGATGTGCCCTGATATCAGCTTGAGAATTTTGAAAAATGTTCAGGTAATTGTAATTTATTTTTTTTTTCCCAAAAAGTAGAATTCACCAAGTTCTCAGAGGCATGTTTGTCCTTTGCTTTTGAGTGTGATTATATATCCTAAACATACGTTCTGTGGTCCCTCTTTTCTGAATACTTAATCAAAGGCATTTATGTATTTAATCAGTTGTTCAGTTTTATTGCATGCATCTCTCTTGTTCCCAGTTTTGTGTACATAGCTGGGGAACTGATTATAAAATTTATTCATAAAATCAATTGCAATTAGATATAATTATTGGTATCATAATAATCTCTATAATGTAGGGAGGGACTGTCTTTTGTCTTAATGTATTGGATGCCACTGACAGGTTACAGTGCTCTAGAACAACACCCTATAATTTCTAATTAAAATACTCCTTTACTTGGAACTGTCGCATCCCAGGGAGTTTAATACAAGCTCCATGGTACTTTCATGTGTGTGTCTGTCTGCTGTGCTCATGGTGGTTTTTGTTAAATGGTTTTGCAGTGTCAAAATTAAGACAGATCAAAATGAATTTTTTTTTCCTTGCAAAATGTTCATGTGTATTCCAGCAGGTGGCTTTGTTGAGTCAGTAATGACTTTCTGATCTATGGAACTGTTTTGCATTAAAATAGTAGTCTTTGTGACATTGTACGTCTTCCATTATTTTAATGCTTATTAAATCTTTTTCTTTCAGTCTGATCTTGTGGATCAGAGTGTATTTAATTTTATCCCGGAGGGGGAACATTCAGAAATTTATAAAATACTGTCTTCTCATCTGCTGGAAAGTGATTCATTGACACCAGAATACTTAAAATGTAAGTAGTTATTGTGGATTAACCCCCATAAGTGCGTGGGGCTGATCACTCCCCCCCCAGAGGGATTGGGAAAGAATCAGAGGGATAAAAGTGAGAAATCTTGTGAATTGAGATAAAGACAATTTAATAAGTAAAGCAGAAGTCACGTGCACAAGCAAAGCAAAATAAGGAATTAATTTGTGACACCCATTGGTAGGCAGGTCTTTAGCTGTCTCTAGGAAAGCAGGGATTCATCATGTGCAGTGGGAGGACAAACCCTCTTCTCCCCCTTCCTCCTCCTTTCCCCAGCTTTTATTGGTGAGCACGAAGTCCCATCATATGGGACAGCCCTTTAGGGCAGTGTCCTGGCTGTGTCCTCTCCCTTCTCATACACCCCCAGCCTGCTGGCTGGTGGAGCCTTGTGAGGAGCAGAAAAAGCCTTTGGGCTGTGCAATCACTGCTCAGCAGTAACTAAAACATCCCTGTGTTACCAGTGCTGGTGTAGTCAAAATCCAACACACAGCACCATAGGAGCTGCTATGAAGAAAACTCATTCCATCCTAGACAAAGCCAGTCGAGTTAAAAAATAATCTGCTTTGTATCACATGTGATCAGGTCTTTTCTTCCAATGTTATTTAAGCAGAAACACGAGTGAGCCCTGAAGAACAGAAGCACTTTTTTGTGGGTTTTTCCCCAGAAAAAACCTAAAATTTTTAATGTTGCCTTGCTTTTCACTCTGTTGTTTATATAGCTTCTATGTAGACAGTTATAGGAGTTGGCAAGAATGAAAACGTAGCAGCCTAATGGGTTTTGGAAGTGCTTGCTTTAGTAAACTTAACTTTAGGGCAGCTGCTTCTTTAAAATAGCTCTAGTTTTCAGGGGGTTTCTATGTCATTAGCATTCAGGCCCTTCATGCACAAATTCTAAAGGAGTTCTCCATGTCTTTAGGTTAGTTAATATCACGTTGGTTAAAAGCAGTAGCCATTTGTAATCACATTTATAGTATCTCAGTAACTGCGTGCCTTAATTATTCCTGCTTTCCATTTCGGGTTGCCTGTGAGCTTCATCAAGCACGTAGCCTTCTAATTTGTTTATTCTTTTCTCAGCAAAAAATCAACTCGAATTCTGTTGCCATATGCTGCGAGGAACAATAGATCCAAAAGAGCAACCTACATACGAATATGTGAAATTTATAGGAAATTTCAAGTGTTTGAATAACGGTAAGTAATTTCAGCGGTGTTAGAATGCAATTCTTGGAGGCTTTTACAGCTAAGCAGGCTTGAGACCACTGTGCAAAACTTAATGGTGGACTAAAATCAGTCTCTCAAAAGAAGAATTTGAAGCAGAGTTGTATCACTTCTATATTGTTTTAATGAAAAAGAAGAAAAACCGCCTTTCGTGTATTACATGTCTGTGCGCTTCAATGCAAAGTGTGGTAATTCTGCTTAATGCTTTCAATGAAAGAAATGTAGTATCTTGTAAAACATTTTTTAAAATAATGTAAGAGAGAATTAAGCAAATGCTTTAAAATAAATAGCCTGAGTTCAGTTAATTATGCATAATCCGTACTGAAGCAGGTGGCTAAGTAACTTGAACATCAGTGGTACCGAGTACCTGCAGTTCTCATTATGCAGCGAGCTGGGAAGTAAAATTTAGGTTTCCCCCCATTTCAGTTCTATGTTTTCACTGGCAAGAATTACCACTCAGATGAGTGGATGGGCCATTACAGTTTTCCACACCAAATTCCTTCCCCCTTCCATTGAATCTATTTTTATTAGTTACATACTAATTCCTCTTATTCCTCTGTTCCACATCCCTAATCTGTTTGGCCAGCCCATGCTATTTATTTGAGAGGCAGATTAATTTGGTCAGCCAGACAAATGGGGCTGTGCAGTGGGATCAGTAGTAGATCTTCATAAAGATCACCCTCAAAAATATTATCAAAGAAAGTGTCTTGTAAATAAACTATTTTGTGATACCAGTATTTTTCTCACAAAATGGGGGGAGGTTGAGTCTTAGTGCCAAATGCAGGCATGTAATATTATAGAAAAGACAAAAAATAGCCCTTAAAAAATCAATACAGTGCTAGTCTTGGAAAGAGGAGGAGTTGGGAAACTGCAGACCTATCAGTTGCAATTCGATATTGGGAAATATTGCAAAACAAATAATTAAACTATATGTGAGCTTCAGGAAGCTAGCAAGGAATTCAGTAGCAAAGATTGGTGATTTTTCAGGTAGAAATAGCATCAAATCAGTTCAGTTTCTTCTACTAAAGAGTAACACGCTGTGTGTGTAAGAGGAAAAAGCACAAATAAGTGATGGAGTTTTTTAATGTGCTTTTGACAGTTATCGTATTCTGTTCTCACCAGTATGTCAGGGAAGCACATTTTCATTGAAATTGCAGGAGAGTAGCTGCAGAAACTGATGATTGGAAAGGTTACTGATGTTCACCATCAAAATGGAAAGTTTTAATGGACTGAATAATGTTATGAATAATGGAATATAGTTTCCAGTCATGAAATGATGCAAGAACTAAACACAGGATAAGCATTCAGCCCCAAACTTAGAAAATAATTTTTAGGGGAAAAAAACCCAGACAAATTGACTAAGAACAAATGCAAGTTGCCACATTTAGGAATAACAAGCCATTTGAACAGGGGAAAAGCTTCCTGTTAGCGAGACAGCAGGCCTCCAGAAAAAGGAGTTACTGTGGAATGTAAACCAAACGTGACCAAAATCACCAAATCCTGAAAATGCAGAAGTCTTTCTAAGATATTGTCTAGACCACATGAAATGAAAGTCCCTCTGCCCTTCTTAGCACCTGTATGTCCATCCTCATTCTGGTTTTGACACCATTTGTCAGGAGTAAGTAAAGCAGTTGGAAAGAGTTCAGAGTAGAGCAATGAAAGCAATCAGAAATTTAAAAATCTGATTTACAAAGCAAGATAAACTCTGAAGAGCAAAGGAGAAAGGAGATGATAAAACCTTTAAAGATAATTTGGAAGATGTGTTCCAGTCAGTTTTAATAGTTACCAAGAAAGATTGGAATTGTTATTAGTTTCTTAAAACTGCTTTGTCACAGATAATATCACGGTAACTCTAAATTTAGTTCTTTGAGAAAGTCACTTGATGGTTGTGTTCCCATTCATACTGTACAACTGCTGTTCCTGTGCATATATTATGTGTAGCATTTTTCTGAATGCATGTTGTTGTAAGCAAAGGACGTTAGATAAATATTGGTCCGTTTGTCTTGTGATGTTACTGCCCTTTTTCCTTCATGCTCGTATCGTAATCCGTATCGACCTCATCTGTCTTCCCTCAGTTCCCAACTCGGCGCACAACGGTTTTGAAGGAACCATTCAGCGATCGCACCGCCCTTCCTATGAAGACAAAGTTTGCTTTGTAGCCACAGTTAGATTAGCCACACCTCAATTTATCAAGGTATGTACAAATGAAATCACTTGTGTAGCATTTTTAAACGTACTCCGAACAGGAAAACTTCAGAGAGAATGCACACAACATTTCTAATACTATTAGAGAAAAACGTAAGGCATTTTATTGTATCAAACTGAGAGTGTCTGTGTTTTGTACTTCACATACAAAGAGGTTAGAAGTTGTGCAAAGTACCAAATCAAGTTGCTGTGGTGAGTGCTGTTTCTAAATAGTCATATCAAATAGTAATATGTAAGAAATAAATTTAGAAGTCCCTAGGAATTTAATTTACTAAGTTTAACATAAATATGATGAAAGATAACACTGAGATTCCCCTTTCACTGGAAAAATTCATCATTTTAGTTGACACTTGGATGTGAATTTTATGCTGCTGCTGGTCTTGCTGTAGTTTGACACAAGCAAATCGCTTTGGGCTTAACAAAAGCTTGAATTATTTGTCAGCAACTGAGAGTCAGGTTTGAGGTAATAAAGATCTTTTGTTTCAGTATGGTGTGCTACTCAGTAATTCGTTTCAAGAGAATATTTTGCTTATCTGTTAATGCACAGTGAAGATATCCTTACAAATTTACAATCAGACGTGTGTGAAATGTATAGACTTTATTTAAAGTATAAGCCTATACCTTTTGCTTATCTGTTAATGCACAGTGAAGATATCCTTACAAATTTAGAATCAGACGGGTGTGAAATGTATAGACTTTATTAAGTATAAGCCTATACTTCGCTAAAATGAGTCAAAATAAATACTCAGGGTACAGTACAGGATAGTCTGTGGTTGTGGTTCAGATTATGTGTTTTCTACAAATATATTAATCAAGGTGCAGGATAGCCTGCTATTGAACATTTCTTCTTACAATTCAGCTCTAAAGAAATACTATGAAATGTATATGGCGTGTGGTTAAGCTGCTGTCTGTCATGTGGAACTCTTTGAATATTTAAATATTTAAATATACTGCATGTAAGTTGAACGCACTGGTGTCTTAAGCTGAAGGTTGGTGGTGGTATCCTCTGAAGACATGGTTTACATACTTTGCACTTTGAAAGTGTAGTAAGGAGCCTGTGGAGAAATCATATAAACTTCTTCAGTTCTGTCAGGCTGAACAGGAACTAGGTTTCTCCGACCTGCGTGCCAGAGAGAGTTTATTTTTCCTGAAGCCATGGAAATCTTTCATCTTCACAGTTTTCTTCCTGTGTGGGTCTAAATAAAGTTCTTCCTGTTATGCCTACAGTTGGTAGAGATGTTAAATGTGTGATTTTTGGCTTCATTAAATACTTGGGGAGATGAGGAACATCCATTTATGATCTTTATGTTTCCTGGTGGTGACAGCTTTACAGATTATACTCTGGCCAAATTTCCATTCCTCTTTACCTGAACTTCTGAGCCCCAAGAGCCTAAGGAACCTTTCATCTTACAGAGGTTTTAAGACCTCTCAAAGGGTTTTGGCTAGTGCTGTTCATCTGAGAAATATTCTTGTGAAGAAGACTAATGTTAGCGTGAAAGTTTTTAATCTGACAATACTTGTCGATAGTCTTTTGATACTTTCTGTTACTATTGAGGCTAGCATTGACTAGGCTCTAGCAAAGAAGTGCTATCTCAGAAACTTTACCATCCCAGTAACTTTACTAACAGATGTGTGACGCAGCCAGTAATGAGATGTGTGGTTTAGTATTGGATTGCCTTACTTAAGGTAGGACCTGCCTGCTCCTCTGCCACTTTTTCTCTTTATTTCAGACAGTGTGTGGTTCTGTTGGGTGTTTTTAACCAAGAATATATTTCTCAAGGATATACAGTGCTTTTGCAGAAAGATGCAGTATTCATGAGAATAATCTCTGAAAGTTCACATTTTTATTTTCTGCATATGACCCCATCACTTTTGTAACAAAATGTGCCACAAATTTTGCTCCCCAGTGAAGGGATATGGCTTTGTGCATTCTTTAAAACATTTGCCTTGCATTTTGGCTGGTAAGTGATTGAATCCTACCAAAGAAAGCAGGATTAATCCAACCAAAAGGATTCTACAAGAAAACTTCTTGTTACAAATTCTTTTCTAGATGCCTTGTTGACAACTTCAACAAGATGCCTTGTTGAACAAGACAGCTTCTACCCAGGGGTATTTTACAGTGGAATATCTGTAAATCATTAATATATACGTGTTGAGTAATCAGATAGGAACTTGCTGCCAGCTTCTCTCTAACAATGGTGGTTTTACTGTGATTCTACTGCCTGTGCTTATTTTTCCTTTTGTTTCAAGTTGTGCCAAAATAATTATATTAAAAGAAATAACGAATCAGGACTATGTCTCAAGGATATATGCTCACTCTGTCATTTCTTTGCTATGAGTGGTGCTTTATTAAATACTGTAATCTTAGGAAAGTAGATGACCTTTGGGCTTTAGGGGGAGTTTCAGTTTTGAAGGTTAAGTTTTGCGAACTGGAAGTCGTACCAACTGTCACCAATTTGTGCCTGAAGTGATTTTGTTCACTGCCTTCATCATATAACTCACTTTCTGCTCATTGTCTTTAGATTTTATACCAATGAAGGTGAGGAAGAAGCATTGCCTAGATAAGTTAACTTTTTTCTTTCGTAGAAAGGAAACTTACAAATATCTATTTAAAGAACTGCAAAATACCCACTTAAACTCTTTGTATTATAAGCTGAAAGAATGAAAAGGAAGGTGCTCTCTTTGTAGGAACAAGACTTAAGTCTTCTACTATATTTTTCCCCAGGTCTATTTTAGTTATAGATGTCTGCAGAGCTGCAGTGTGCTCATCAGTCCACATCTGTTGTGACCATTATGTCAGTGCAGCAGCAGGTTCCATACTCCAGCCTTGAGGAAACTGTTGTGGTATCTGATCATTAATAGATTCTCCTGTGTTCCTGGCAATGGGAATGTCATTGCAAGCTCCTACAAGTGTGACAAACGTGTGCAGGTGTCCAAAAAAGAAAGATTTGCCGATCTTTAATTTTATTGTAGTTCTCTGAGGGGTGTTTTTGTATGTGTGCATGTGTTCCATCATCCATCTTTCTTCTTGTAAGGTGGTAGGAGAGGAGTTACTGTCTCAGGAAGAGGCACAGTCCTTGCTGGGGCATCTTTGCCTCTCTGGAAGGGGACAATAGAAACTGAGTGACAGGCACTGATTGCGCATATGTCTGAGCAGAATACATTTAAAATTATGTACAGAGTACCTTGAGGATTTTGTTGTAATAGTGGAAGTACAGTCATTCTCTTACTGCTTATGAGTTCTAAACATAACAAGAGTGTGTTCCTTGTAGTTCATGCCTGTGCCCTCAAGGCAAAGTGATTTACAGTACTCTGCTCTCACTGAAAAGAAGAATCCTATTCCTAAAGTCAAAGTAATGTGACCATCTCGCTAATGTTGGTTTTTAGCCATTGTAAGCACATGCTGTAATCAGAGTGTCTGGTGGGAAGTGTTTCGTCTCTTGCTTGTTTTACAAGTGAAAAGCATAACTTCAGGAGCTATTGATTTCTGCTTGTACTGCTGTGTTTGGAGATACTGAACCTGAGTTTAATCTCAGGCCGGGGCTGTTCCATTTAAACCACCTGAGTGTCAGCCTGAGATTAGATTCTGCCTCAGTATTACGCATCTAAGCAAGCAAAAACCATGAAGCTGTCTCAAAATGACCATGATAACTATTGTGGAGTTACCTACTAACTTTAGGTCAGTCTGAATTGCGAAAGAGCTTATGAATTAGAATAGAGCAGTTTTGAGAGAGATTTTTATTTTTTTACTTTTTAGGAAATGTGCACTGTTGAAGAACCCAATGAAGAGTTCACATCTAGACATAGCTTAGAATGGAAGTTCCTATTCTTGGATCACAGGTGCAATTCCTTCTATGTATAGCAGCAATAGCAGCTGAATCACAGTGGTGACTATAATATTTAGAGTTCACTAATCAACATTAAATACGTGTAGCTTGTGTTGGGTTTAATTTTTAATTTTTTTCAGAGCACATACTGTAAACAAGAAAATTTATATAATGAAATAATTTTTTGTGGGTTTTTTTTGTATGAAAATAAAATGACATTAATTTTTGTGTTAATTAGGGCGCCTCCGATAATAGGTTATCTTCCATTTGAAGTTTTGGGAACATCAGGCTATGATTATTATCATGTGGATGATCTAGATAATCTGGCAAAATGTCACGAGCACTGTGAGTATAACTAGGCTGTTACAATGAACGGGTTTTGCTCTATAGATGTCAATTGACAGTTTCTTAAATTGCACAAATATTGTAGTGAAATTTAGGAACACATTTGAGTGAAGTGTCTTTACTCCCATTCATTTGACTTTATGGCACAGATTTAACTTTATCTTATAATTTAGAGTTTTCCTTGTGGTAAATTGGAATACACAGCACTATGACTGATATTTCTCCAGTTCTTCCAATAGCATTTAACAGGCTCTGTCATCATAGAATCATAGAATTTTCTAGGTGGCAAGGGACCTTTATCTCATCTAGTCCAACCATCAACCTAATTCTGATAAAAACCATCACTAAACCATGTCTCTAAGCACTGTGTCTACCCATCTTTTAAATATCTCCAGGGATGGTGCCTCAAAAAATGCAAAAATTGTTTAAATGTGTAATAGGATAAGATTTTCTGTTCAGTTATGGTTTTCTTTATAAAGCTGTATTGAAATTTTTTGCACATAAATTTTTCACAATGTGTAAAAAAAAAAAACCAAAAACCAAACCAACAACTAGAAGGAAACCCAAAAAAATCCTAGAGAAATGGAAGTTAGAATTCTGCAGTTCTCAGAAAAATGCAGTGTAAAATATTTTTGGAAATAGCTACAGTTTTAAACCTGTTCTTAGTCATTGTCATAATGCTGGATTGGGACATGGTTTTGGGCCATATGAACTAGGAAATAATGTTTATTATGTAATTGCAGTATTAACAGATTTCTGATAAAAACCATCACTAAACCATGTCTCTAAGCACTGTGTCTACCCATCTTTTAAATATCTCCAGGGATGGTGCCTCAAAAAATGCAAAAATCGTTTAAATGTGTAATAGGATAAGATTTTCTGTTCAGTTATGGTTTTCTTTATAAAGCTGTATTGAAATTTTTTGCACATAAATTTTTCACAATGTGTAAAAAAAAAAAAAACCAAAAACCAAACCAACAACTAGAAGGAAACCCAAAAAAATCCTAGAGAAATGGAAGTTAGAATTCTGCAGTTCTCAGAAAAATGCAGTGTAAAATATTTTTGGAAATAGCTACAGTTTTAAACCTGTTCTTAGTCATTGTCATAATGCTGGATTGGGACATGGTTTTGGGCCATATGAACTAGGAAATAATGGTTATTATGTAATTGCAGTATTTACAGACCGGAAAGACAGTAAACTTTATTCTTCACTTTTCTAGTAATGCAGTATGGGAAAGGGAAGTCATGTTACTACAGATTCCTTACAAAGGGACAGCAGTGGATTTGGCTGCAAACACATTACTATATCACGTATCACCAGTGGAATTCCAGGCCAGAGTTTATTGTCTGTACGCACACCGTTGTAAGGTAAGTTATCTTTTAAAAATCTGTATTAGAGAAATTCTAGTGGCACGGAGCTGTATTGATGGTATTTTTGGAGGTAGAGAAATCATAGCACTTTAAAGAATCATTGGGAAACTTCCTGGGATGCTTTGTAAGTAAAGTACTTCCGAGGAGTTTATTTTTTAGAGGTATGTTTTCTAAATCATCTAAGAATATAGTAGTCATGTTTGGCTTGTTCTTCTAGTTATGCAGAAGTTAGAGCAGAAAGACGACGAGAACTTGGTATTGAGGAGTCTCTGCCAGAGATAACAGCAGATAAAGTGAGTGTCTTACAGAATTTTATTTTACTACTTCTTTCTTTCATACCAAAAAGAATACGTAAGCAAATACGCAGCAGCAAGAAGTGCTTTGTCCTGTTACAGATAAGGGTGTTATTTTGTTGTCTAAATAATATGACTATTTAAAATTAAAGAATCAAGTCTAGGAAGGGTGGTTTAGCAAGAAGTGCTTTGTCCTGTTACAGATAAAGATGTTATTTTCATGTCTAAATAATATGACTATTTAAAATGAAAGAATCAAGTCTAGGAAGGGTGTTTAACTGTATTCTTCCCTGAACACTCTTTACGTGAGTTTATGTGCATGTAGTTATAACGTGGCAACAAACATAAGTCCTTATTAAGATCTGATTCCTGCAGAGTTTTATTCATAAATAAATGTTTTTCCTTACTGGAAGCACCCATAATCTGAAAAAAAAAAAAGGTCAACACACAAAGATGGCTTAAAGGAATTCACAACAGGAAAGCAGGGGCTGTTCTCTTGTGTGACTCTGTCCCACTTCTTTGAAGTACACAAAATTAATTTTGAATTACTGCTCTTGGAAGCTCAGCGAGTCTAAGATAAGCCAGCTTGTGCAGATGCTCTGCCGTGTCTTCTCCTGGCACTTCAGAAATGTTTACACTTGGCAGTTCAGCAAGTTTCATTTGAGAGTGCTCCTTCGCCTGGAATTAACTCATCCTTCCTCAGAAGAGGAAGCATTACACAAGTGTTCAAAAAAAAAAAAGGTCAACACACAAAGATGGCTTAAAGGAATTCACAACAGGAAAGCAGGGGCTGTTCTGTTGTGTGACACTGTCCCACTTCTTTGGAGTACACAAAATTAATTTTGAATTACTGCCCTTGGAAGCTCAGCGAGTCTCAGATAAGCCAGCTTGTGCAGATGCTCTGCTGTGTTCTCTCCTGGCACTTCAGAAATGTTTTCCCTTGGCAGTTCAGCAAGTTTCATTTGAGAGTGCTCCTTCTCCTGGAATTAACTCATCCTTCCTCAGAAGAGGAAGCAGTTCACTCATTACACAAGTGTTGAGAGTGAATTGAGTTGCTAGAGAAGCAGGTCAACGCAGCAGTCAGTTTGTGGCTTGTGTCTGCATGCATTTGGGTTTCTAGCCTTATATGGCTTTGGTTTGGTTTATTTTCCAAGGATAAAAGCTGCAAATGGAAACTCAGCTTAGAGATATCAACCAGGCCACTGCTTCTGCTCAGCCACCTGTGTAAGGGGGGTGATTAGACAGCATGGTTTCAGATATTTGCTAACAGAAATGTACATTGTGTGCTGAATCAGGTAAAATAAACGTTCTTTGTGTGTGCCTCCTTCAGAGTCAGGACTCTGGGTCTGACAATCACATCAACACGGTGAGTCTCAAAGAAGCACTGGAAAGGTTTGATACCAGCCCCACACCTTCTGCTTCCTCCAGGAGTTCAAGAAAATCTTCACATACTGCAGTATCGGATCATTCATGTAAGCACCAACTGTTGAAAATATAATTGCCTTCCAGGTGAAGGCTTTTTCTGCTTTACTTACTTTAATTAAATGCATAACTAACGGTTTAGCATCATTTTATGAAAAACATGCAAATGAAAATGTCCTCTTTGAGGGTTTGGAGATCTCGTAACCACTCAGATTTTCAGAGGTTGCATAGTGACTTCTAAAAGTACAATAGCTGCTGTTTCAGTCCATCAGATTGCATTATTGTTGGATAGTCTGGGTTAAAAAAAAATAAATAATCCAAGCCTTCAGCCTTTTTTTTTTTTTAAATTCATTAAAAGCTACCTGTGATTTGATTTTTGCATTGAGAATTGAGATTACTGCTAACATGTCTCTTTCTCTCTGTACTTTGTCAGCAACACCAACTAAAATGACAGTGGACACTAGCACTCCTCCGAGGCAAAGCTTATCTGGTCACGAAAAGACTGCACAAAGAAGATCATCTCTGAGTAGTCAGGTAACTCTTCAGAGAAAAATTTTGCACGTAATCAGGGTAATTCACCTTCAAAAGGTATAATTAAACCCATATAACCTTTGTTTTATTTCTTCTGAGAAACACCTAATTTAAACTGTAACATTTCACTTGGAATATGTGACAATCAGAATTGTATCATCAATGTGCAGCTTGAGTATACTGCATTTTCAGGAAATACAATAATTAAGCATATAAGTGTGTGGTTTTGGGCATTAGGGTTGGCAGGATTGTGTATGAATCTCTGCTTTCACTCATACATAACTTCTTTGTACAATTCTGCATTTTTAATGTATTTATGTATGTAACTACTTATATACATATATATAAAAAATTGCCAGTGCAATGCAGTGTACCCCTATAGAGAATTCATGTAGATTTTTGACTCTAAGAATATTAGTGAATAATTTCATGTAGTTTCTGAAGTCTTGGTAACATGAGAAAATGTCATGCTTCATGTACTTGGTGCTCATGTTCCAGTTGAACTAATACATTCACTGCAAAAATAGAAAGCTTATTAAAATATGCATTTTTAAAAAGTTATTAGTTTAAGAATAAATCAAAGGAATAACTTCCGAAGTTGTTGATTTTTTTTTCCTTACTACCAATAAGACTTTTAAAACAGTTGCAATTGTAATTTCTTTTTTTCCTGTTTTATGCCTATTGCTTTTATATATTTCTAAGCAGTGGGAAAATTTTATATACATATATGTATATAATCAATTGCTCTTGTATTCTTAATTCTCTAATATTTAATGTTAGATATTTCAGGAAACATTTATTTGATTTTATCATATCTTCATATGATGCTATTTTGGAAGTGACACTTTACGTAAGGAAATATGTCAAGTATGAAGTTCATTCTCTTCCAGTTATGGAACAATTTTTTAAATCCTAGTCTTTAAGCTCCCAGTCTCTTGGACAACCAGTAGTGCAGCCAGCGATGTCTCAGCCTGCAACTCTGCAGCTCCAGTCTGGCATGTCCCAGGTATGGATTAATTTGGTTTATTGTTTATTATTTTTTAAACAGTCTTGTTCTGAATAGGTTAATTTCTCTTTCAGAACTTGACTTCTTTGATGCCAAAGTCACCTTTAACGTTATTCTCTTGAAATGAGCAAATTCCCCAATTTGAGACTTTTCCTTTATGTTTTTTTTCCTTCCATTATTTGTTTCAGCCTTGGCCATTATAAACATAGATACAAACACAAATTAAGATACAGTTTGTGACTGAGGGTATTCCCGAGTTATTTGCATATGTTTTAGCTCTGGGTGAATTTTTTTGGTAAACTGGTACAATTCTAATTTTTAACTCTGCAGCACCGTATAAATTATATAGAGTCGTAATGATTTGGACACCAGTCAATTTCTTTTGCTATGGAGTTTTGGGTTTTTTAGTTCAGCAATTCTGATGCATCAATTAAATGTGACATCAATGTGAGTTCTGTGACATTTTCATACTAATGAATTTGTCCTCAGATTATGTTTATTAGCAGTTTAAAAAGCAGTGCTTGATTTCATTGCTACTGCGGAGGAGGAGATTTACTGCTCGTAAATAAAATGTCATTATTTTTGCTCAGCTTTTAATTTATTCATTACACTGCAGCCTGTGTTTCAGTTTTCAGCTCAATTAGGAGCTATGCAGCATCTGAAGGACCAGCTAGAGCAGAGGACACGCATGATAGAGGCAAATATTCATCGACAGCAGGAAGAGTTGCGTAAGATTCAAGAGCAGCTTCAAATTGTCCATGGTCAAGGGCTCCAGGTGAGTTAGTGTTAACTCTTACAGGTTTGATCTGTAGGGAATTCAGGCACCTAAAATGAGACTTGGGCACCCAAACCAGCACAGTGCTGTTCATTCTACCTTATTGCCCCGTCTCCTTGTAGTCTTGGGACTGTCTCTTTGTAAAGACTCAAATATTTTTGTCCTGAATTCAGTTTATTCCAACAATGTTGGAAAGTTCACTATAATCATTATGATTTCTTGATTGCTAAGGAAAATTATGTTCTTGGTGCTATACCTGGATCTACTGAGTCCGAGATTTCCTTCATTTGAATTAGTTTCATTTCTGGAGATCTTATGGAAGAGAAATAGAAATGTGATCGCAAATTCAGTTTGTCTTTAGACAGTTGTAGTCTACATTACAAGTTAATCTCTAAATAGTACTTTTTCTTTAAGGACAAATATTAAACCTTCATATTTAAGGCTCTATAAATCAGGATTCTGATTCATATCTTATCAGTTAGTCTCTGAATACTGACCCTTTATGGGAGTTGGACCATTTGCTGTTGTTGGTTGCAGAGCTGTTTCAACACTTTTAAGTAACCAAGATGAAACTTTTGTTTTATATTGATTTAAAATCATTAAGTTTAGTTTCTCTTAAGCATCTTGAAAAACTAATAGTTTTTTCTTAAAAGCTAACTTGCAGATTTTTTTTAAAAGATGTTCCTGCAGCAGTCAACTTCTGGACTCAACTTTGGTTCTGTGCAGCTTGCTTCTGGAAATTCTTCGAACGTCCAGCAGCTCACGCCAATAAACATGCAAGCTCCAGTTGTTCAGACTAACCAGACTCAAAGTGGGATGAACACAGGCCATATAAGTACTCCACACATGATACAGCAGCAGCCTTTGCAGAATACTGCGACGCAGGTAAAATTCTCATTATTGATATTGCAGGATAGAATATACGCTCAAAACCATCGCTGAAACGCAGCAGTAGCTTCCCTGACCATCCCACTCCCCAATTTTTTTTGACCAATATCCTTTGAGTCATCCTTCTTGATGTTCAAGTTTTACAATTGAAATTCCTTGGTGTTCTTGATAATGCAATTTCAGAGCTTGTTTTTATTTTAAGACTTAGGCACGTAAATAATTAATAACAAGTAGCTTTTTGGAAAGACCACAATCAAGCAAACTTTTAGCTTGCCTTTTTTGAATGTCTATGAATTTTCTGTTGACAGAACACACAACATGAGGATTGCACTGGGTGAGCTTGAAACCCCGTGTCCAGACAGCAAATAACTAGAAACATGTAGAAACAGGTCGAGCACATGTTGGTGCTCCTGCAGTTGACTTTTCTACTCTTCAGCAGTTTCAGTTAGATGCCATAGGTGTATGACAGCTGTAGTTTATTCAGTTTCTTTTGGTTCCATGTGAACTTTTGAAATCCACAGCATCTCATAGTGTGTTCTACAGCTTTTCTATCTGTGAAACATGATTATGTTTGTTTTTTCAACCCGCCACCCAGCTCATATACTGGGAAACACATTGGGCAGCTATTCACTTTCCATCTTCTCAGTCATGCATGGTTTCAAAGTCTTCTGGCACATGTATCTCCACAGAGTGTTCTTCAAGCTGAACACTTTTACTGCCTTTGACCATTTTGGGTATGGAGGCTGTTTATACCTCTGTCTCTGTGGTCGCCCTCCTTTGTACCTTTATCCAAATTCCATACTTTCTTTTTGAGATTTATGAAGAGGCAGACAGTGGTGCTCAGTGTTAGCATCTCAGCAGTAAGCTAGTTCCAAACTCTTGAGTAAGAAATTGAATGATGCAATGCTCACGTTTTATTCTAAGCCTGGCACAGAGATGCTTAAGAAGTGAAAAATAGAATCTTGAACAAACAGGATGTAAGTAGCTGAGAAATTCAGGAAAAAAAAATTACAGAAGAGGTTAATCTAAGATTTTCAGATGTCTGAGGGCCTGTCCCACCTTGAAATCCTCAGTCAGTGGAAATAGCCTTGTACTTAAATTTAAGAATTCATTTGTAATAGAAAAGCATCAGCAGTTGTGACTAACAGGCAGTGACAATGAGGACAACAGTAGTACCCGGCTATGTTCAAATTACTATCTCATAAAATATTTGTTCTTTACAGCATAATCAGCAAAATGTGATTAGTGGACACAATCAACAGTCTTCTCTTGCCAGTCAGTCCCAGAACACGGTCTCAGCACCTTTGTATAACACTATGGTGATTTCTCAGCCAACGACGGGGAACGTGGTCCAGGTTCCTTCGAGCTTACCCCAGAACAACAACCAGAGTGCTGCTGCAGTCACCACCTTTACACAGGAGAGACAAATCAGGTAAATCTTCGAGACCAATATTCAGATGAGTTGCTTTAAGGACATGCTTACAGAGCTGCATCTTACACAAAAGGAACTAAAAAAACCCACGTGGTTTGTTATTTTAGCTCTATATGAATACAACAGTTAAACTTTGCCCAAAATAACACATTCACAGGCTTATCAAAGCCATTCTTGTTATAACAAAGTATAAACTTGACAAGTCTGTGTTTCTCAAGCGCACTTTTCCTAAAGGGACTCCAAATGTTTGGTTTTTTTTTTTTCCATGAACAGATTTTCTCAAGGTCAGCAGCTTGTCACAAAGCTGGTGACGGCCCCGGTGGCGTGTGGAGCGGTCATGGTCCCCAGTACGATGTTCATGGGGCAGGTGGTGACAGCTTACCCCACTTTTGCTGCCCAACAGCAGCAGCCACAGACTTTATCCGTAACGCAGCAGCAGCAGCAGCAGGGTCAGCAAGACCAGCAGCAGCAGCAGCCACAGCTCACCACCGTTCAGCAGCCAGCCCAGCCACAGCTCACCCAGCACCCCCAGCAGTTCCTACAGGTAAAGCACCATTCTCTACAGATTTTTTGCATATTCTGAAGCCATTCTGGAAAAATCTTTACTGCTTTAAGGAGAGGTGGTCTTTCCTGCGGTTTCACTCTATGCTTTCTCCTGCTTTATATCATCTTCCCTTTGAATCACTGCTATTGATAGTCCATGGGATGAAGAAATGGATGTTTCCCTTTAAAAAAGCTTGCTTTTTCTTTGCTTTTGTGTATTAAGGCAAGAAGGTAGGAGAGAGAATCTCAAACAGAAAGCAACTTGCAGCCCAGAGCAAGACACATCCCCCTAACGTAAGGTGTGAACGTCTGCCTGGGCTACAGGGGAGCCTGAGCAGCAAGTAACCTTGTAAGCAAAGAGAAGAACCTTCTTTTAGTGGAGAAAGAGGAGAGATTGGGTAAAAAAAGAAGGAAGGCAAAACCCAAGGAGTTTAGAGATAGGAAATACAGAAAAGAAAAGGAATAGAAGGTAGAAAGAAGTGATGGGGAATTCTGTTGCCATTTGCTGATTCCAGTTTATTGCTGGCCTGTAGCTCACCAGCAGGTGATACTGGTGGGGGAGATGTAGTGGTGGTGAGAGCACTAGGGAGGAAGTGCCTTCAAGAAGGCCTGGGTTAAAAAAAGGTATCTTAATTTGGCTTCTGACATTGCCTTCTCCAAAGAAAGATAAAAGTCCACAGAACTATCACAATGTAGTTTGTGCACATTCTTAACGTTCTTTAACTACTCTGGGTTTCTCAGCTCTATTTTTTTCACTCTTTAAGAGTATACATAAGTAAAAATCCCTATTTTGCAAGTATTTCTTGCTATGTTTGGTCTCCCATTTGCCCTACATTTGAAACCCTGTGCATAGGTGGAGTATACACAAATGCAGTAAGTAATTGGAGGTTTCACCTACATTGACATCCCCAAGGAAGGGTTATGGTTCTGTTTAGGGCTGAGTAAAATTTTCTTTCACTAGGTCATTGATGAAAATATTGACTTGTTGAAAAAGAGTCTTTCATGTGCATCAGTCATGCATCAGGCAAAGGCTTTTCAGCTGCAAGTTGACTCTCAAAAAGAGCTGAAGGATACATAGCAATTTGAATTTCAGCACTCCGTTATGTAGCGGGAGGCTCTTGAGCTGAGTCAAACCAGAGCACAGATCTGAATGTCTTCTCTGACAAGTCTGTAATAGATATATTAAATATATGTATTATATAAAAACAATACTGTAACAGCCATGCTGTTTAGCAAGTTGGTAGTGTCTGTATTTCTGTTTCTAAATTATAAAGTTTGTACAATTTTGACTCCATTCCGGTGAAAACCAGAAGATCTGTGAAGGATGAAGATCTCCAAAGGTCTGTTCCTGGCCTAGAGTTTCTTTCCAGCAAAAGTTTAGTCTTTTTAATCCAAACTGTTAAAAGTGCTAGAACTGGGAAGTGAAGCAAACACTCTTTAGGAAGGGAGAAAAGTGGTTTTCCTGCCTCTGCTCCCAGTCTGGCTCTGGAGGTGCAGCAGTCGATGGTGTTCATTTTCTGCTGTGGAATGTCTCTCAGGATTGAGACATCCAAGTGTGTTTGTGCCCGGCCTTCATTGCTTTCCTTCAGTAACCACCAGCTTTCGGTTCACTGAATTTCACTGAATTTTTAGAGTTGGAAGGGACCATAGAGATCATCTAGTCCAACTCCCCTGCTAAAGCAGGACCACCCAGAGCTTGTCAGAGCATGTTACTCAGGACTGCATCCAGGAGGGTCTTGAAAATCTCCAGAGAAGGGGACTCCACACCCTCCCTGGGCAGCCTGTTCCAGGGCTCTGTCACCCTCACCGTGAAGAAGTTCTTCCTCATATTCAAGTGGAACCCTTTATGTTCCAACTTGTGCCCATTGCCCCTTGTCCTCTCACTGGCAACTACTGAAAAGAGTCTGGCTCCCTCCTCCTCAGCCCGCCCTTGAGATCTTTGTAGCCCTTCGCTGGACTCTTTCCAGCAGTTCCCTGTCCCTCTTGAACTGGGGAGCCCAGAACTGGACACAGTACTCCAGTTGTGGCCTCACCAGTGCAGAGCAGAGGGGCAGAATGACCTCCCTTGACCTGCTGGCCACACTCTTCCCTATGCAGCCCAGCATAGTTCTAAGGTTAATATTAAAAAAACCTACCATTTCCTGTAGTAATTAATCCCTTTCAAAGGGGATGTTTGGGTCTGCAAATGTGGTGATTTCTTTGGTCATTTTGGCCGGTGGGGGGGATGAACGTGACCTGGGCCAAGCCATGGACCGTGTTTTCCTGTGACTGCAGTGACAGCCACCTGTGCTGTCCAATGGATCCCTGGAGCCCTGGTGTGCTCCTGTGGGTTGAGATGGAGACAGATTGCCACATGCTGCTCCCCATCCTCACGGGAAATCACGAAGACCACTTAGCAGCTCTTTTATTAATTGGTCAGATGCTCAGATGCACTACTCTTTTCATCGTTTGCTCAGCTCAAATGACCAAATCAGAAGTTTTATTTTGATGGAACCCTTGTGAAAAGCTAAAAACCAGCCAGGCCTGCGTTTCCTGGCGCAGCAGGAACAACAACAACAACAATAAAAAATAATCATCTTTTCCTGTTTGCCCCTTCTAGACGTCCAGGTTACTTCACGGGAATCAGTCAGCCCAGCTCATCCTCTCTGCTGCTTTCCCACTACAGCAAAGCACTTTCACCCAATCCCACCACCAGCAGCACCAGTCTCAGCAGCAGCAGCAGCAGCAACTGGCACGACACAGGACTGACAAGATGACTGATCCTTCCAAAGTTCAGCCACAATAACAGGGGGCTCTGCCTCCTTTGGTTTGGTTTTTTTTGTTTTGTTCTGGTTTTTTTTGTTTTTTTTTTTTTCCTTTGAAGCAAACTAGCAGGAGGAGGCTTGCTCCAAAAAAACCAAGTTGCACTGAGGCTGCGGAGGAGGCAGCACGAAGACTTTCCAGCACCGTGGTGTTGAGGTCTGCTCCTGACTCCTGGAACCTCTTTAAGAAAAAAAAGCCACGAGACGGGGACGGGGACGTGGCCAACTTTTGAGAGTTTGCCCCGGTTTCTGTGTTCTAAAGGATTTTCGCTGCCATGTGTTAATTTGTCCAGGTGAAATCTCAAAATGTGACTGAAATGAGAGGGATGCTGAAAATAGTGGTATTTTTATCAATCCTGTACATTTTTAAAGTATTAAAATGGACACGGAGCAATTGTTTGAATTAGCAGGAAAAAAAAATAATATGCCAGGAATCTAGTCCAAAAACCATCTAATTTTTTTCAGATGATTATGGGACAGTAAATATTTTAAAAATGTTGTGTGAAATCCAGTTCTCTGTTGTACAGATGCTGTAAAATATTGTGTATATGTCTGCATAAAAGGAGAAGAGAGCAAAATATTTTATATGATGCATGAAAACGTAATCTGTTCTTTGTAGGTTTGAATCTGTTTCCCCTAAATTCTCACGCCATACTCAGACTAATGTTTTCCTCTGTTTCTACCCTTTTGTTTACAACATGATGCATCCTTAATTTTCACCCTTTAATGTGGGCACAAGTCTCTCGTTTGTGCTTTGTCCGTGATGTCAGGGTTTGTCCGGTGAGGTACAGTGTGTTGGTTAGTTGACTTCTCGAAGTTAAAATTATTGATGAAGCTGTGTTTGGGGTTTTTTTTGGGTTTTTTTTGGTTTTTTTTTGAACTGGTGATCATCGCATCAGGGTTCAGGACATTCAGATTCATGAATATCATCTGTCATTTCATAATTAACTCATCGTTTTATTTGAAAAAAAAAAATAGGAATTTGCACTGCTTTCTTGTGGATATGGGTTGGAATTTTATTCCCCAAAGCTATCTTTTGATATAGTTCATAGTTGGAGATATTTATGTAAAAGGTTTAAAAAAAAAAAAAGACAGTAATTTTCAAGAATGTTTCAGTTATAGGAGTAATTTGCACAAAAATATATTTACATTTAATAACCTTTTGGGCACTTTTTAACCACTTTCTCTGTGGTGAGAATTGTAACTTGTTAAAATATGTTGGAATCTTTTTATTCTCCTTCAAAAATAAGTCAGAACTAATTCAGGGTCATTTTAACAACAACAACAAAACCCATAGTGCCTTGATTTTAATTCAGGTGATAACGTCGAACATCTTGAATTACAACGTCTGGAATCTGTGACCATTTTCAATTTTGAAGTCTTAGTTACATCGTCAGCCAAACTCGTGTATCTATTCCATAGCTACTTCTGTGCTGTGCTTTGGTTTTTCAACGATGGTCTGAGTTGAGAGCAGGAGCGTTTTTGGAGCGGCACTCCCCCTCAAACACTAGCCAGGAACAGAGAGGAGTCTCTAAAATCTCAGACCTTGAAGGTAAATTCTCTTAAAATATGAAAAAACCCATAAATCTCTAAGTATTGATTACTCCTTTTGCAGCAGGAGGAACATTAAGCTGAATTTTTTTTGTTTTATTTTTTTTTTTTAATCATTTTTGTAGCGTTTGAAGCGTGTGTTGGGGGAGATCACGACTGCATTTAACACTACCAGGCTATTGATTTTTAAGAGATACCGCTGAACTAAGACTTCAGAAGGCAACTTCACTTTACAAAGAAAATAAAAAGTTCCAACAGATACGATGTGCTATTTTAAGTAAACGTTCAGTAGGTTTTTATGGTACTAGTTTGTGGATAACCAGAACTTTGGAGGAAAATTAATAAATGCTGATAGATCTGGTAATTAAAAACAAAGAAAAACAAAAACAAAACAGTAGAAGCAGTTAAAATTAGTGCTAGGGAGAGAAAGCTGGATTAATCTTGAATAGGGAGGAGGAGTTGGATGAATGTAACCAAATGGTGATGGACTATTTTGTACTATGAAGCCGTTTGATTGTATTATTGTCTGGAGGAACCAAACCCGCAGGAAGGCGACAGCGGTGTAGCCCAGCGTTGGGTTGGGAGTGGAGGAGGAGGGGAGTGCCTCAGGAGATGTCCCAGTGTTGGTGGGGGACGACAGGAGTTGGGCACCAAAAAAAAAAAACCCCACAAAAAAAAAAAAACAGGTGAAGGAGGAAGGAGAGTGTGAAAAACAACAGAACCAAAGAGAATTGGGTGGTTTTCTGCTCCGAGAAGCCTCTTGCAACCCGGAGCACGGAGCAGATGCTGATGCCAAACACAGCGAGGAGCACGTCCCCTTCTTTAAAGGGGTTTCTGGCTCTCTCTGGGCTGGAAGAATTGTCCAAAACCCATTTCTGTAAAATTCTATGTAAAGAAATCCTGCCTCGCTCTGCTGTCCCTGCCGCGCCATTCCACCCCTTCCCCAGTTCAGCTGCGTTGACTAGAGGTCTGTGTGAGCAGTCATTTCGCTTCGTGGAAGGTAGATTTATATAAAAAATTGTTTTAACCGATTACAGTAATACCATAGCACTAAAAAAGAAAACTGGGAGAGCTTTAATAGTGCTGTTAGAACTCTTGAATAGTGGTAAAATAGGTTTGTTAAGCTATTACACTGAGAATTACAGAAAATAGAGATGCCAGGCAGACAGTTAACGATGCAGCTTTTTATATAAAGCTTTGTTTAAACTTCTCTTCCCTTTTTCCCCCCCTTTCCCAGACACTCTGGGGTGCTGCTATGGGTCTGTCCCTAAGGAGGCTGAACGAGGTGAGAGAGACATTAGGTGATGCTGAAAGAGGCACGTCCTCTTTGATCAAGAGGCTCTCTGTAACCTCAGAGAGGGGTCATTCAACCACAGAGCTACCAGCGAGCAGAAAAAGGGTAGAAGATGGGGAGACTCAAAAAAACTGGAAAAAGTAGAGCAGCACACGTTTTGAGAAACTCCTGCCAAGAACCAGGCGGGCGAGTGCGTGGAACTGGCTCCAGGTTTGGTGCAGGGACTGAAGATGCTTTGTTTCATGGCTGAGGACTAAAAAGTGTGTTTTTAAAGGCTCTGCAGCTTCCCCCGTTGCTGAATCCTCCTCGATCTCTAGTGGGAAGAGGACCAGGCTCTTGCCTCTTCCTTAATCAGCCTTTTGCTTCTGCCCGGGCCCCTGTGGGTCCCGGAGCGTTGGTGTTGTCCCCAAAGGGCTCTGACAGAAGGGAAAGGACTGTTAAAGGAGAGGGTTGTATTTATGAAGAACTGGGCTGGTGGTACCTGGTGGAGCAAAAAAAAAAGAGGTTTTAGCCACCTGGAGCTTAGGAGACAGACATTGTTTGCCTGCAGTGGGTGAGGATTCGAAGAAAAGCTTCTAGGATAACTTCAGAGAAAAAAAAAAAAGAATATAGCTATTTTTATATTATATTTAATATATATTATATTTGTATATAAATACGAAAGGATTCTAGTAGGAGCTCTCCATATGCCTTCCATTTCACCTAGAGGGTTTTACCTTCTGCACTACGGTTCCCGTGTGTCGCCACCTTCTGCGGGCATCCCGCCTGCTGCCAAACACCAAAATGAGTAACCCAGCATCCTTACACCAGATATAGGTTTCATTGCAGCTTTACGTGACAATGAAGAAAATGAAGCTATATCAGGCAGGGTTTTTTTGTTTTTTCACAGCAAAAGAAATTCTCGTTAAGACTCAAATAGCACTTTCTCGTTTTTTTTTTTTTTGAGTAATAACAAGCACTTTACTGAAAAGACTATTTGAAAAACAGTTTATTTCTGTAGTCAGTGAAACTGTTAAAAAAAAAATAAAAAAGTCGGGGGGGTTGGAGGGGGGCGTTGAGGACTGACTAACGTGCATAAAACTGGGGAGAGAGACATTTCTGGCAAATGTTTCTTGAACGCGGTGATCCTTCGAGGCGCCAAGTGCAAGATTAAAAAGGCTTCTGAAGGCCAGGGTGGCTTCGTGTTTTATCCTGCCAGGGGAAGGGCTTGGTGAGGATGGATTCCTTGGAGGGAAGGAAGGAAGGAAAATTGGAGGGGGGCGTTGAGGACTGACTAACGTAAAACTGGGGAGAGAGACATTTCTGGCAAATGTTTCTTGAACGCGGTGATCCTTCGAGGCGCCAAGTGCAAGATTAAAAAGGCTTCTGAAGGCCAGGGTGGCTTCGTGTTTTATCCTGCCAGGGGAAGGGCTTGGTGAGGATGGATTCCTTGGAGGGAAGGAAGGAAGGAAAAAAAGGAGGGAAGGAAGGAAGGAAGGAAGGAAGGAAGAAGGCTTTTTAAATTGCACGGTTGCCTATGAGAGAGAATCATCTTGGGAGGCTCGTTTTGCCTGCTCGGGAATTCCAAGTGTCCCTTAGGATGATGGATTGGGATGGAAGCGTTGGGGAGGTGTGAAGATGTGGCCTTTTTCAAATGTTGAAGTCGATTCAAGAACCGTTTCTATTTTCAGAGATTTGAGCCAGGTGTTGTTCTGAGTGTTCTTAGATGCCGTGGCATCGGGAGATGTCACACGTGTGAGATTCATAGGTTTCTCTATTTGAAATCATTATTAAAATTAGATGTACAGTCAGAGGGCTGGCAAATGGTTATTTTGATTAAAAGGGAAAAGAGACTAGTTTTAATAATTAACCTTTTATTTTTTTACTTATCCCTGGTGGAAAAAGTTGAAGAGAGTTAAGTGGATTTGGATTTAAAAAAAAAAAAAAGAGGTATTTAAACAAATCGTAGTGGATGAGACAACTGTGAGAGAACATTTGAAAATGGTCTTGGTTGTCCATGAGACTGGATAGTTTGCTTTTTCACTGTCATGATTTTTAA